AATGAGTTACAAGCAATGCTGTAAAATATTTGGACATAATGTACTAAATTGCTTTATCTTTCCTACTTAATGAACCTTAATGGAACCAGCAATAAAACCCCGCCCTTCATAATAGCTAATGGTTTTTTAATGTGATTTTTCTTTTCTCCTTTGTATCCCGTTCTTTGTAATGTTAAAAATATGTTGTACTTATTACTCTCTAAACGTTCAATTTTTTGTCATTAGTCACCAAAAATGGGACCAATGCTACAATCGTAGAGTAATTATTTTGTTTAGATCAGATCACATTATCTCAAGTCTTAAAAATATTAATTATGCTAGTTTTCAGTCTCATCCCCACTAATTTCCGGAGGCAGCCATGGCCGGAGGCATTATGTTTTTGAGCCGTCTGACCATCCCATTCTTGTGAATGCGATATCTCAGTAACACTTTTAGGGAATTTCTTCAAATTTGGTACAGACATTGACTTGGACTGAAGGATGAACTGATTAGAATTTGGTAGTTAAAAAAGTTAAAACATTAGTTTCACTCTTTTTAGCATCTTGTAAGTTGTGTAACTAAGCATATTTAAGTTTTTGTAAAAAGTTCTCATTTTGAAATGAATCAGTTTGAAATTAGAGCTGCAATTAATTGGTTGATCAATTATCCAATCAAAAGAAAATTACTATTTTGATTAATCAATGAAGTTATTTTTCAAGCAAAAACAGCATTCATTTGGTGGTCCCAGGTTGTCAAATGTGAGGCGGTTGCATTTGTCAGTGTTCTTTCTTCACTCAAGATCTCAAATTGCAGTTTGACCTAATCTCCTTTTTGTTGTTGTTGAGATCTTGGGAGGTGCCAGCATTTTCCTTGTTCCTAGCAAAGTAGAGACTGAAAGAAAAACTGCTGACTCACTTTCCACTGCCTGCAGGTTACTAAATGTGTTGGAGGTCATAGCCCCGTTCAAGCACTTCAACAAACTCCGAGAGTTTGTTCAGATGAAGCTTCCGCCTGGGTTTCCAGTCAAACTCGGTATGTGTGTGTGTTGATCTACTACTGTGTTCCTGCGTGTTGGTGAGCTTCAAGAGAATGATCACAAGCTAACATGTTTTCTTCCTTTGTTTCTCCCCTCACAGACATCCCCGTCTTCCCCACGATCACAGCAACTGTCACCTTTCAGGAATTTCGCTACGACGAATTTGAAGAGTCGACTTTCTTCATCCCTGCTGAATACAAAGAAGATCCCAGTCGCTTCCCAGACCTCTGACCAGTAAACGCAACTGACATCAACAGGAAATGACCAGCGAGTAAATATGTTGGGGAAACACAAATGAGGAATCTTGCATTGTTTATTTCCTATATTTCTCCATTTAAAAGAAAAAAGGGGTGGGGTGGGGTGGGCTGGGGCGGGGCTGGTCTGGTCTTATTGATCAGTTGTTATTCATTTTGCTGATGGATCCAAAGCAAATCAATGCAAGCAGATGTTACAGAGTGCCATCTCACATATAGATGCGTATCAGCAGGTGTTTTTGTGAAATGAGTGAAAGCTTTCATTGTACTCGCTGTTCACCTACTGAGCAGTTTCATGTGCTGCTCAGTGCTGCTGTTCTCTCCTGTGAAAGCTGTCACAAAACTCAGCCTGGACTCTTCATCGTCACTATTTTAATATCTACTATATCTCCTTATCTCCAAGGACTGATGAATGAATCCTCATTCTTGAAACTGCACTGACACCATCATCTGTAAATAATTCACGCCTCCTCCGACATTCATACGAAAAAGAATCACAAATATAGCTATATCCTCAAACTGAGCTTAATATTCATTTATAGATTATGTACTATATAAATATATATAGAGAGAGAGGGAGATACTCAAAGGAGTAACACTGTGTAGCAATACATTTCCAGTACTTAAGAATGTTTTTAACCAGCTGGGAGAAGGTTTAGCATAAAAACACATTCTCAGCAGTTCAGTATCCAAGCCTTTTCCCCTGTGCAGGAGGCAGTCTCCTGTGTTTTCAGGTTAGCTCATGTTACCTCTCAGCTGTCTCCATGTTTTGTCGTGATCGTATGAACTCTGTGCCCAGTGTGAGTGAATAATTGTACTGTATCAAAGGTTGTTGTATGTACGTTTGTGTGTGGGAGAACCCAGATGGGATATCAGGTAAACTGTTCTTAGTTTAATACTGCACTGATATTAAGTATATTTAAGGCATGCTATGGCTGTGTTGGCCGATTGGATCACATGCATCTTTAAGCTGTATTCTCTGAACGATTATGTTACCTGCAGATTTATTGTTGGTATTTAGATTAAGGAAGAACTGAAAATTGTAACACTAACACCTTTTAGTGCTTATAAAATCTCTCCTTGATGGTTGTCTGCGCATAATTTTCTTTTTTTTTTTTCTTTTTTTTTTTGTTTATTTGTTGTTGTTTTTTTCATCCAAGGAGAGTAAACTAAGCTGTGAAGTTGATATTGCTGGATATCCCAAAACTGCCCATATGGGAAATGATCTGATCCATTGAGTTTTCTCTGGCTTCAGCTAATATGTACTGCAACCATACCTACTTCACATCCCTTTAAATAAAGCACCAGCATCATGTTTCAACTGACTTTGTGTAAGTATAATAAAAAGACATCATTCTAAATGAGGCTTCCAAATAAGGATGAGTAATATGATGATATAAATTTGTCAGCTGTCAGATATGTTTTTTACTAAGTACTTTGATTTGGGATTCATTTAAGTTGCTAGGTCAGTCATAGCCTCAGTGGTACCGCTCATGTGCTGCCATTACATCCGAGTCACAGAAGTTAGCATCAGTCTTTGAAAAACTTATCACTGCTCTGAAGGTATTTCCAGAATCCAGAAGACTCTTGAAACGATGTGGATGAATAAGATATATATGTACACTCATTTAATTAGGTGCACCTAACTAAGACTAATACAGTCTAAACACAACAGTCCTGTAATAAATCCTCCTTCATGAAGCTGTGTAAAAGGGTGTTGATTCCGCTGTATGATCATTTTGGAGGCTGTAGTTTGGTGCTGTTGAATTGTATTATTCTCTCCACCCCATCCATCAGTGATGGCAGGCTGAAAGATCTGAGACACCCTTTTCTATAATGCAATACAGTTCAACAGCACAGACTGCAGTATAATGTGTCCGCTGTATGATGTGCACCTTTGGGTTACGAAAGAAAGGTGCATCTTGGGAAGTGGGTTTACAACACTTCGTGAAATGGACAGATTTTTTTTTTCATCCAGATGGTCGTTCTGGAAATGTCTACAGAAAAAGTATTAAGTGATGTCATATGACCCTCTGGGTCATGGGCCAAGTATTTAGTGTTGTCATATGATCCAAAGGGGTCATATGACAACACTAAATACCAGGTATTTAATTTCACAAGGTATTGACTTTCAGGGAACTCAAATGGTCAACTTCTTGTTTTCTGCTAGTAAATGTAATGTAGCGTAGAAGCTGCCTCTCCTAAAAAGAATAAAGTTGGGCGCCAGACAGGCAAATGGTAATCTACAGTAAACCTATCAAATATTTAAATTAGGTAAGTGTCAGAGGAGAGAGCACAAAAACCCAGCTGCTTACTTCTTCAATGCTACAAAAAAATAACATAACCAAGGTCTCATTGTTCATATATTCAATGAAACAACCACCAAAACAATTATCATCATCATCATTTTAAAGAAATCATAAATACTGGTTTCAAAAAAATCAGTTTACAGAAATTAAATAGTTAATTCACAAAAAGTAAATTCCCTCAGTAATAAGGCTTATAATAATTATATTCAAATGTTAAGCTAGAGGGTGTGTGTGCAAGGGAATGAGTGTGAGTGGCCAGGTGTGTGGTTTATGACTGAACCCCGAGCAGTTCAGCTCAGTTCAGGTTGTAATAGTTCAGTTCAGTTCATAAGAGTTCTGTGGGGTGTGGGTGTATGAGGATGGGGTGAGAGGGTGTATGGAAGAATGAAGGCAATTGAATGAATGAATGCAATGGAAGTCAGTGGGGGGGGGGGTTGAGGGTGAGTGTAAGTGTGTGTGGGCATGTGATAGGGCAGGTGAGTTGGGCAGTCAGCTGGAGAAGCCTGGAGAATGAGGGGTGAAGGGACTTATCTGAAAGAGCGCGGCCTTTGACCTGGACAGAGAGAGGAGTTTCGCTGAGATCCAAACCAGCCTGAGACTGTCGCCTGTTCCCCGGAGCTCAATCCTCTTCTCCTTAAACCGATCCGTTGATCCTTTCTTTTGTTTTTCTTTTGCCACCTCCAATTTACCCAGAGTTTTCAGTTCAAGATCCCAGTACTGGTTTCTTTTCCTTCATTTCCTTGTCTCACTTCTCAGTTTCTGCTTCAGCCTCCTTTGTTCTCCTTTGTTTGAGCTTTTTTTTCTCCCAGCTCAGGTGTCTCTGATTTGTAACTTCTCCTTCCTCCTCTTGTGTGTGATGTCACTTCCTACTCACTATCCTGCCCTGCTACAGTAATATATTACGTAATATATCAATATCATGATATTAAGTCATATCCTGTTAGTGACAGTTTTATCCATAACACCACACCCATAATTCCAAATGCCTGAGGTTAGTGTTAGGTGACAGACAGAGCAGGCCCAAGCCTTTATGGGTCCCTAAGCAGAATTTGATTTGGCCAAGGGCATAGGTTTGGTCTTAGCACTGGGACACAACAACCCTGCCACACGTCCAAAACAAAGAGACAGACTTTTTGAAGCCGTCAACCAAACGGTTGATTAATCTTGATTAAATCTTCACATATCCAGAGGATGTATATATGTCATAACAATATATCCTCTGTTTGTATAGTAAGGCATAAAAACATCATACTACATTAAGGCATTGAAAGGTCACATTATAGTAAGACATAAAAATGTCATAGTATAATAAGGCATAAAAAGTCATAGTATGAGTAGTCATAACCCACGCTTTACCCTGAGGTAAAATGCTTGGAATGATTCATTAAAAACTTCAACTAATAAGTCTTTGTTCTCCAAATAGGCTTTATTATAAAAGAAATATTTGATAAAACAATCAATACTTTCGAACAAGAAGCAAATGTAACTATTTCCAAAAGAGGCCTGAGCATCACATCACAACACTAAACAAAAAAATGTTAAGATACAATATATGAAGTGACAAAATCTCACAACACAAGATCAAGAAAGCAAAGCAAGCCTTATTCCAGTCTGAACTGATTACAGTTGTAGAGGCAAAAAGCATAAGGGAACTTTAAAGCAATGGGACAAAGCAAGAGAAAGACAGTATGTCGTTGGGCAAAAAAGACTTAACAGTCAAGTATTGTACATTCCTGTGTGAAAAATCAATACATTTCAAACACATTTCACATTTTAGAATTTCCCCAGTGGCCAAAAACACCTTCACAACCAAAATGGAGGGATAATGTAGGAAACGGTGTGATGGACCACTCAGTCGCTGACATCCATGTCCTCTTCGTGGTGATCGTCAGCACCGTTAACTTTGGCCTGCTTCATGGGCCGCGCTGTGCCGTTACCTTCTACTGACTGAGGAGACAAAGCAGAATCGTCTGAATCCTTCCTGTCCTCTCTCTCCTTCTCGCTGTCATAGCCTTGTTCCTCTTCGTCGTAATCCCTGGTGATCTGTGAGAGGAAACCAAATGGATGTGACATTTTAAAGTATTACTGCCTCCAGTCTGGTTTACATCAGAGCAGATGTTCACAGCGTGTAAAAATGAAGGCCTGTCTCAAATATACTATAACCAACCTTAACGTCTCCTTTCTCACTGTCTGATTTCCTCTCCCGCTCTCTTTCTTTGTCTTTGCTTTTCTTTTTCTTGCTGGTGGAGAGTTCACGTTCATCACGACTGCGGTCTTTATCACTCCTGCGTTCCCTGTCTCTTTCCTTATCTCTCTTCTTCTCCTTCTTATGTCTGTGGAGGGAAAAGAGAGGTCCTTAGTGTCACAAAATGCCCAGAATGTACCCATGCCTTTTAGTTCTAAGTAATCATGAAGTCATATGGACTGACTGAACTGACTGAAATTAATTGAAATTATTGATTGCACTGTTTTGCTGAAAGTCACTCTTATGCTGATGCAGTTGTTTTATCATGATTGTTTTCTTGACAGATCATGACCTGAGGATGGATGTAATAGTGGTTTAGTTTTTGAATAAATGTTAAAATAACAGTTAATATGACAAAATCCAGTCGTTAGTCCACTTCGCTTTCACACACCAAACTACGTGCACCAGAGTCCACTTTGAAGCTTTAAAGAGGGCATGTGTTTACACTACTAACCTCTTTGGTTCGGCTAAAAAGAAATCTGTTGCATTTTCACAGTAAGTTCAGTTTGTTTGGGCAGGTGAGAAAGGTGTTAACTGGACACAGGTGCGGACCAGTCAAAAGCGATTAAAACTGCAGTCTATTGTGTTTGTATCCTCAGTACACTTTGTCAGTTCATTAAGTCAAGTGAAAAAAATGCAGCGACCCCACAGTAAAACCTTCAGTGTGTTGCGGTGCAACACGTCTCTTTCGTCCTGTTTGTTATTCATAACATGCAATCGATCTTCAGCCTAATACTAATAAAGCTTATAATCAGTCATTAGTCTGAGCTCCTCTTTGTGCCACCCGAGGACAAACATATACACAGAGGCATTAAAGTGACCCGCTGTCAGTCACTTGGCTGCTGATGCGTCACCATACAGTCCAATCACTCCTCTTGATTCATTTGTAAAAAGTCAGTGAGAACACAAATCGGGCCAAAACTAAACTGCAATAATGTACCATTTAATTTCCTTGGTCCAGATCACATGAACACAGCTACAGGTGTACAAACACACCAGAGTTAGTTTAAATCAAATCAAACATGATAGGATTGAAAGCAACCATTATCCTTGTTTTAAAATATTTACTTCATCAGGATCTTAAAATATGGATAATATGATTAACTGTTATTGGCTACAAATATTTCACATAGACACACCAACCTTCGAGGAGATGGAGACCTGGAGCTTCTCCTTTTAGGGGATTTTTTGGGAGGAGATCGGCTGCTGCTGCGACTTCTCCTGCGTCTCCTGTGTAGTAGAAAACCAAGGTTAACACTGTGTCCTGACTTGTAAACAAAGGGTTGAGTAGCTGTTTTAACTACATTCTGCTGGAGCACATGAAGACCCAAGGCTGTACTCACCTGCTCACGCTGCGTGATCTTCTGGCTGTGCTGTAGCTTTTAGGTGGTGTTTTAGATCTTCTTCTCCCGGAGTCATCTTTCTTTCTATCTCTAAAAAGGGTAAATATTTTAAGATTTCAGATGGACTGTTAATCTGAGAAAGAAGGCTAAAAAGGTTGAGGTTTTACAGTTAATCCACCTGGATCTGCTTCGTGATCGCCTGCTCCGGTCTCTGGAGTGGCTGCGTCTCCTGCGCAGGCTTTTGGAGCGTCTCCTGCTTCTAGAGCTTGATCGTCGCCTTGATCTGCTTCTGGTTCGCCTGCAAGCAGACATTCATTTAACTTTTTTGCATTCTGGCAAAGTTTCTCTTTCTCAACTGTTCACATTATCAACAGAAAATTTTACCTGTGTCTTGAACGTGATCTGGACCACCTCCTTCTGGACCTGGACCGGGACCGAGAGCGCTTCTTTTTGCTCTCCTTATCTGCAGGACAGCAAAACCAGATATTGTTTATGATTTTTCAAGGTGCAATATTACACACTGAGTGCAAGGTAGAAAAATACTGTAATCATGACTGCTTAACACTGCAATGCAGACAAAACAGACAGTTTCACAATGCAAAGTCAACATCCTGGCAAGAAAGTCCTCCCAACTTGTGCGCACTCACTTCCAGGTTCAATAGCAGCAGAAATGAGCGACTGAGCCTCTCTGACTCTTTTCATGGCCTCTTCGATTTCTTTATTAGATCCGTCAGCCTTCAAACCTGCATTCAGGTTTAAGCTTGCAGCCAGGGGATTCAGTCTAAACAAAGGAATATTCATTAGTTGACCCACTACTACAGAAACAACAACATATCTATGTCTTTACTGTGTTATTTAAAACTGCTTTCAGACACAGTCTACAGATAATAAAGGAAGTTCTTTATACGAACGTACTTTGGATCCGTCATGAACTTTAACAGCTGATCAGCAGCCTGTGAAGAGACAGTGAAAATAAGTAGGTGCTTGCATTATCAGAAATGCTGCGTTTTAAACTATGCCAATTTTGGAAAATAACTAATCATTGTCATTCAAGACGACCTCTCACCTGGGGATTCATATTGGGTCCTGGGAAGCCAAATGCAGCCATCGCATCCATGTTCGGCGCACCAAAAGGGTTCCCTCCAATCTGGAATTTAAAAAAAAAAACAAAACACACACACACAGACACGTTAAGGCACATTTGTTTTGCTAGCTTACTGTTCAGATCTTGACATCTTACAAGTGTTGTTGTACTGTACTGGTGTTAAAATGTGGAAATAATGCTACTGACAGATGTGGCCATGGATAACTGTTTCAGTTCCAACTCATAATCACACAAAAGACATTACTACCCCCAAATAACGAGTGACAATTTTCAAATGCAAAAACTGAAACGTGCACTCTACTGAACTTCAATTTTCACTCTTTTATTGAAATATTCCTTTTACCCATTTTTAAAAAGAAGAAACTAAAATTACACCACAAAGAAACGACCTTGAGGTGGCTTTGTTTTGTCAATTGTTGTTAGCAAGATGATGAATCAACTTTATCAATCAACTTTTAAGCCAAAATGGATGAAATTGTTAAGTGTTCAGAGGAATGGAAATTCTTAACCGATCCCACACACATCTCACCAACAACCTCCTGTGGGACCGCTTCTGACAGGAAGATTATTTATTTTTCTGATCGACTAATGGATTAATTAACTAATCTTTGCAGCTCTATACGTTACATTTTCCAGTGGTCAGAGACTTTTGTCCGAGACAGTGAGGATGATATCTTACAGGTGGATTGGGGATGGGGTTGGGCGTTGGAAGAAGTCCTCCTCCTGGCAGAATTCCTGCAACAGCATTTGCTGGCGCCAACAGTGACAAAGCTTTAGCCTCATCTGGAATAGATCCTACAGGAAAATAAAATCAGGCATTAGGAGAGAACAACATCTTCACACACACACACACATATCAACTACAGAGAGACTTTTTGGAAAAGACAAAGAAAAAGTCTTCACACTGCATTTCTTCAAATTAGGTTCAACAAAATGGTTACCTTACAGATCAGAGAAGAGTTCCCTTAATTCAACAAAATCATTGCAGTGAGATAACTATAACTGGAATAAATCACACTACTCCAATGAACACTGCCAAGAATATATCACCTGAACGTGTTTTTTAAGTCATGAACCAAACGTTAGCAAGCACAGCTGCTTCTCCAGTTGGGTGTGCCCTCAATTTTCATTTAGATGTTTACTGAAACAAGCGACTCACGTTGGCGGCTTCGCTACTAAAAGCACACAGAGAAAAATCGAGATACACACAACAAAGAGAAATTTAGGGATTTGGCAAGAACACTACACAAGCTATCAGTGTCTACTTACCAAAACACATTTCAGAGGATAAAGTGGTTCATAAACTAAATGGCAATAACAGAAGTAAGGGTAGGTAGCGTGCCTTTTGTACATCATTATTCTAGGATCCTTACCTGTCACTGCATCAATTAACCAAACCTGGGCAGAGGATGACTTGTTTGATCAATCTGCACTACCACAGTCCAATTAAAGAATAATTGCATCATCTTCATTTGCAACAATCCTCTGATGTTATTTTAAAATGACCCACAATTAACAAATAAAACACCTCATAATCCTCTCATAGTAAATCCACCCATACAAACAACTCTTTCACATAAATACAGACACACAGTAATGACAACATTTAAACACAGAAGCACACTGGAGAGAGAAATTGCTGCAGGAGACAAAACTGTTGGATGGTATTTTCAGCAGGGCCTGGTATACAGGACTGGCTGAGCCAGGAAAAAGAACTGTAAAACACAACAACAAAAGAAGACCACTGTTAAAGAGAATATTGTACCAACATTGTGTCATGTCGGGTGGGTATCTTGGACAAGTCATGACGAGATGGAGTTAAACCGTTATATCAGACAACCAATCATTGACTAGTGTTCCCCTTTTTATGTCCCAAACTTTGTTCAGACCATTAAGATAATGTGAATTTTCAAAGTTAGTCTGTGCAGTCCCAGCTGCCTGGGTATTGTGGTTTTTGCACAACTGATTATCAACACAGTCTTTTTATATAGCCTTTTGCCACCAGACACAAAAAAGGGATTGTCATTAAAAGTTTTTTTAGTTCAGTTGTAAATTTAACCATTTTTAAAAAGGAAGAGGCTGGGTATACTCTTTTTATGTTATTGTCAATAAATTCCATGAAAAGACCAAAAACAACTATGTCTTAGTCCATCTGTCAATACTTTCTGACTTCTGACAGTGGTGGATTGAGACACATTTGGTGCAGTAGTGACTTTTCAGCAGCAGGATGGTGCCTCTGGCACTTACTCAAAATAAACTGCAGTGCCAGCGTTCATTGTAATGAATAAACATGTCCCCCAGTGCAACGGTGTGGCTCAACAATGTGCTTTTAAAATGAGTTTTTGGACAACAGTCTTTTTGTCTTTTCATGGGATTTGGTGACTTCAAGAAAATGAAGCATATTGCCAGCCTCATCTGTGAAGGAACAATGCTTTCGCCATAAAATGAATGGCGAAGCAGAATTCAAGTGTTGCAAAATAGTGCAGATTAAGCACTGTTTCAGGCTATGTCCTTCATTTCTGACCGTTATACTCTTTAAACTAAACCACCTAGAAAAGATAAGTTTGACAGAAGGAAAGAGAAAGAGAGGGCAAAGAAAGAATAGAGGACACAAAAAGAGAGGGATGGGGCTTGAATGCTTGCTGGCCTTTGCAAATGTCTACAATCCCCTGTTGGCAGGCAGAGGACCACTTTCAGCCATCAACGAGGGGGCTGCTTTTGCCTTCTTCACTACAAAAATCACACACACACACATACACACACACACACAAATAACAGAGAGAAGTTTAACAGAGGATAGTCCAATATTGGGGAGAAAATAAAATGCATGTGGTTAAGAGTTTAAACAACTTCACTTCTGAACTTTGAGGTGCCTGCGGCGCCCACATCTTGGGAATGTTCAACTCCTAGTCTGTAAAGCCGATTTTGGTATACTGCGCTTTCTACATGCACAGTAAGTCATTGTTTTAAGGAGACACACACAGATTGATATGTACATGTATTTTTCCAAATATCAATTCCAGTTTATTAGGAGAATTGTATTGTGGTGATAAAACAGATATGGCATGTGCTACCACAGCATACCAAAAATCTGGCAATAGAGTCTGCTTTAAATGATTCTTACAGACGATGGGAGGGAACGGCGTAACCAGTATCATTCAAATTTTCTTAAAAAGCTCACATAAACAGACCAGGGTGAGCTGACTTGTGCACTTCAGAAATAGGACAGATGAAATCGTTTTTTACTCTTTTACATCGTCACTGTTCCAGAGTCATGCCATTCAATCAACGAGGACCACTCATACATGGGAATAATTATGAGACAAACCTTCAGCAAACGGGACCACTATCAACGCTCTGTCCACAAACACGGTGTTAGTCAGATGTTGAGACACTCCAACAGACTCTGGCTCCTGGAACTTCACAAAGCAAACCCGCGACGTCACCGGCATCGGAGAATCACTGTCAAGGAAGTACAAAACATTACAAAAGTCCAACATATTAACAAAAAATGTGGTCCAATCGTACTCAGATGGTCTGTGTGTGAAATATGAAAATGCATTGAATGTGCCCTTTGAATGAGGGTATCCACACACACACTACTGCCATGATATCAAATACATAACATAGATATTAGGCAGGGTTTAAGTCAGAGTGTAAAATGTCCCATCACTACACCAACCCTCTAAACTGTCGCCATAAATGGGCCAGGATGCTGTTAGCTGGATTTTTCATTATTAGATTTTATGAGCTGTGTAAACATTTACTTTGTAAGTCAGACAAACAACAAAATGATACTGTTAGTAAGTCAAAATTATGAGATACTCAGGTGCGATTTAGTGAGTGTAATTATGAGACAGGAAGTCAAAACCAATTAGTCCATCTGCAAAAATGTAATCAATAAATTCAACAGATCAAGATTTACTGCTTCTCTCTTTTTCGGTCTTTAGGTTTTTGACTATTGGTCAGACAAAAACAAGCAGTGAGGAAGTTTTCGGCATTTTCGGTAATCCAAAACATAATCGATACATTACTCCAAAAAATGACGTAACCCATACTCATGTACCAAGTTAAATCGATATAGTTTGTTAAAATTGTCAGATAGTAAGTAAAAATTGTGCACATTGTACAAAACTAAGAAACACTCGTCTTACGCAGACAAATCATATCAGATCATAAATTAGTTCCGAAGTATTTTTATTTTCATCTTTTTTTTGCACTTCATATGTTTAGTGTATAATTTCGCTAATATAAAAGTAAATAACTGGTCTAACCTTACAACCGAAATTAACATAAGAAAGTACTCGTTGCCTCCATTTAAGTCTCTAATATTTCGACTGACCGTGTCACAACAAGCTTTACTTAAAGACTAATTAAAAAAAAACAAAACAACTATGATGTATCAAATCATAATTCAATGGACTTGGGTGTAATTTAGTGACGCTAGCGAAAGGTATATTAGGTTACTGTTAGCCAAACAAGTCAGGTTAGCATGGGCCTACATCCCCGTCCCACAAATGTTTAGCAAGCCATCCAGCTAATGTTTGGCTTAATTTAATTCATAATTATCTTAATAAATCAGCAGCCAGTTAACTCACTCCGGTGGAAATAACTTCAGCTCTTCGATGGTTCCCAGAAAACCGAACAGCGTCCTCATCTGCTCCGATGTTGTGCTCGGCGACACGTTCGTCACCTGGACTACCTTCGTGGTGTAATTCATCTTCCCGACTAAAACCGTGCAAACAACAATAGCTATGTCAACCACCAAACTTTTACTAAAGTAACGGTTGCCTACTCGCTATTAAATCAGCTTGTTTGTAGGTAATTTGCTGGATAGGTGTTAGTTAGCTCTCAACTACAACAACAGACTGTAGCATTCCGCCGCCATATTTAGTTAATGCCGATCAATGTGCGCATGCGTATAGTTGAACGGCTGTTGCTGGGAAATAGCGTCCTTACATTTTTAAAAACAAGGTTTATCTTCGCTTTATCTAATCGATCTACGTAATATTAGTCTTGCACACAAGTGCGTGCAGGACTAATATTATTTAGAGTAAGTTTTTACCTACAATCAATAACCAACAGGGGTCGCCCTGCCGTCTTCTACACATAAACAAAGATATGGTCACAGAGACGATTGGTAAGAAAGTAAGGCATGTAAAATCTCGGACATACCGCCCCTAAAAGAATGTGCTATTGTCTATTATTAATTCATTCAGTCTGGAAAGAAAGAACAATTAAGAAACTGTAATCTCACAGAGAACATTCAGTGGTGAAATGTAGGCTGACTATAGGCCTATTTACTCATGTACTGTACTTAACTACAAATTTGAGGTACTTGTACTTTGGTTGAGTGTTTTCATGCCGCTTTCTAGGTTTACTCCATCATATTTCAAATGGAAATATTAAACATTTTATCCCACCACCACCACCACCACCATTTTAACAGTATAGTTACTTTACAAATTTTACATTTTTTTGCATACAAATCCTTTGAAGTGCTTATTACATGTTATTGTTATTCATAAACTACCCAACTATTTTGATAATCATTTGAATCTCTTTTAATAGACCTACAATAATGCCAAATATTTTGTGGTTCAAGGTTCTTAAATGTGAGTATTTGCTGCTTCTCTTTTGAATTTTTTTTTTCTTTCATTTGTTTTTAATAATTTTGAGGTTTGGACTGTTGTCTGGACAAAGTTTTACAAACCAAACAATCAGTTAATCAAAAAGTAATCAGCAGATTAATCCAGAATGAAAATAATAATTGGTTGCTTCCCTGTGTTAAATAGCTTCTCCTCAAACAAATAGAACAGTTAAAAGTAAGAAAATGCTAATGGTTGAATATTATAGTAATAATTATACAGTAATAGGTTTGCTGTATCCAACACTTTTTATATACAGTCTATGATGTAAAAGTAGTGTGTGAAAGATTTAGGCTAAATATAGGTTATACTTGTAATTTCTGTATGTTTTGCTTTAGTTTTTCATTGTATTTATTTGTTTTTATTTTGGACAGATACACAGAGTTTTATTGAAAGGAAAATTGGAACTAATGTGCAGATTAATGTATCTGATGTGAAGTTGTATTTTGTGGAAGTAAACAGTTCAGTTGCTGATCATTCTTGGTAAATTTCACTCACATATGGAAATGCTGCTTTCATCATTTTATTGTTGAACTCAAACATTTGGTCTATGGCAACTTAATTAAAAGATGTGAAGAACAAAAAAGAAGACTTTCAACATTTTAAATGAATATAGTTTAATTCTAACTTTAAAAGGAAGGGACTTCATGAACTCCTCTTTGTGTTTTTTAATTTTTTTTATCACTATTGTATTGTTGTTCCCTTTCACAATTTTTAGTCTCAGGTGTTTTTGATCACCCGTGGCAGCAAAAAATAACTCTGACTACTGACCCTTCAGTTTAGTTCAAGAGCATAGCGAGAAAATCTCTGTTAATCAGTTATCACAAAAATGTTGCATATTGCCAATTAAAGCCGGCCCACATGTGTTGACCGAGAGAGCCACACCACAACCCTGCCACTGATCAAACTGCGTCAGGAGAAACTCTCTCTACTAATGGTGTTTTTTCCCAGGAGAAACAATAGAGAGTTTGTCTTCAGGCCTACGTCGAACATAATCCCTACACCTGGATTATAGTTGCACTGAGACAAGCAAGTTAAGGCATTTTGTGATCAGACCAAAGAACAACTGGCCGCATTTCATCCACTAAGCATTGTGTTTAATGGGCATTGTACAACAGCACCTAATAATAGCTGTGAAGGTTGTTGTTGTTTCACAATATTTTTCAGATCTTCCTATTAATCTGTTATTTCGGAAAAGCATTATTTAATCTAAAATTAGGCGATAGTAATGTGCTGAAATACTAAGAGGTTTGTTTTTTGGACAATATAGTCTTGATCCCAATGGTTGTTTCTATAAATTCATACCTCTAAAAATCTAAATGTGTACAAATAGCCAAGGCCTTTAATGTGAATTGTACATATTTTGAATTACTGAACTTAAATTTTTTTTTAGCCCCACACATACTGACAATATCCTGAAATATACTGCACTTCGTATGACTCAGCATTACTATATCTTAAAGGACAAAATCTGAACAATTGATACAGCTGAAAAAAAAATCACATGTATCATTGCAACACATTTGCAAAGCATGGTTCTCTGTGTGATAAATATTCTCTGCAATAAATCCGGTTTGGTTTGAGAGGGGTGACCATTGAGTCACCCATCAGAGGATATTGGCACAATGGGATTCTTGTTCACGGTGCAACATGATTGGCCAGGAGTAAAGGTTTACAGCGCAGATTGCAGTGACTGTGACTGTGACCAGACGAATAAATACCCCTAAATCCACTGGGCAGATCAGAGACTTCCAGTTCAGAAGTGACCAGGGGTTTTCTAAAGAGTTGCTTTCTGTATTACAAGAAGAAAACATGGTCAGCCGGTGAGTTTCTCGTGATGCACAACTATTGAGGACAACATATTTGTAAACCAGCATACCCAGAGATAGGTTCTGCTTTATTTGAAACTTCATAATTTGCCAATTTCTATGGTGTTATTTAGATCTTATGTAGACTTTTCTGCAATTTGACCCTGTGACCCTGTGTTGTTAGTGTGTCGGCAGCTGATGAAGCTCCTGAAGGATTTAAAAGCTCACACTGTGAACTGCTTGACCTGATTGCAGCTTCTTTTTTTTTTTACGATTTAAACTATATAACTAACATTTCACTTGCTGGAAATTTCATCAAGTTAAATTTTCTTGGCTTTGATGTTTGTTGATGTCTTTACTTTCTGGTGACAGATTTGAGCACCCAGCTGGTGGCTACAGGAAGATTTTTGAGACATGTGAGGAGCTGTCTGAGCCTCTTCCAGCAACAGTCACAGGTTTGTTTGCATCTCTCAGACAGAAATAGACTGCAGACTGATTCTTTGACATTCGTCTACCAGTCACACTGTTAAGGAAATTTACTTGTAGCTTGAGTCTTTTTCTTCTTTCCTCTGAGAACACATAACTGGCCTCCAAAGCAGGCTCTTAATGCATCTTTACAAACTGTTTTCAAAAACAATATCTCATTTATGTTCATCATGTTTTACAGGTAGGATTCCTTCATTTCTGAAGGGAAGTCTCCTCCGTTTGGGACCTGGGCTTTTTGAGGTTGGAGATGAACCTTTCTATCACCTCTTCGATGGCCAGGCCCTTATGCACAAATTCGACTTCAAGAACGGCCAGGTCACCTACTACCGAAAGTAAGGCTTTAAGGAGGGTACCACTGCTCTGTCATTTTTCAGTCCATTTCCATAATTTAGCAAAGTACTGATCACTTTCCAATACATTTTTTCACCTTGGAGCTTGTTGTGCCTTTCAAGTAGCCGTTGGTTTCCATGCTGCATCAAAACCAATCTGCAGAGACTTGAAACATGCTTGAGAGATGTAATCCATCACAGTAAGCATCATGTCATGCGTATATTCACCACCTTCAAGGTGGTTAGGCCTATGTTTTCACCCGTGTCTGATGATTTGTCAGCAGGATTACGCAAAAAAAATACTGAACCAATGTGTCTGGGAAGAACTCATTACATTTTAAGGCAGATCCAAATTATTTACTATAAATTTTTATGTTTTTTTCTCCGAAGTCTGGTGTATGTTGTTTGATACTGCCCTCTGAGTGCCCTTCTAGTTCTGCTATGTTATTGCTGTCTGGCAATTCTATGAAGATTTTTCAAAAGAAGCTGCACATACAGCTACATTACCACCATGAAATAATATCACAACTTTAACAACAATTGAAAAAAGAGAAATAAATAAATGCATATGCAAGTGAGTCTCAAGTTTCTGCAAGTTGATTATACTGTGTGAGGGAGGTTAGATTTCAGATTTGTAGACATGTAATACTTAAGGACCTTTGCTAGGAACATATGGTTCATTTTTGTCAAGTCACTGTAACACATTCAAGCACTCAATGGCTAAACCTTTGAGGATATATTCATACAAGCTTTCAGGATGGTGAACAATGATTTTTCAACGAGTTTATATGTAGTGTTTTGGAATGAAATTCTTGATTTGTCAATCTCTCCTCTGTCTTAGGTTTGTCAGAACAGATGCTTATGTACGAGCCATCACGGAGAAGCGTGTGGTGATCACCGAGTTCGGTACATTTGCATATCCTGACCCCTGCAAAAACATTTTCTCCAGGTTGGTTGCACACAGATACACAGACTCTTCTTTTCTGGATGTTTATGACTGTAGAATTCAAATTCAGTTTAATCTTTATGCACTAAGATATATTTTCCTCTTGGTTTCTTTTTTCTTCTACACTGCTGAATATACTGGGTCTACTTTCTTAAATCTCCTGTTACATTTCAACATCACGTTTGGACATCTTTATGCGAAATGGGATCTTTTTTGTTTGCAGGTTTTTTTCTTACTTCAAGGGTGTTGAGGTCACAGACAACTGCCTGGTGAATGTCTACCCTGTTGGTGAGGACTTTTACGCTGTAACAGAAACCAACTACATCACTAAAGTAAACCCTGACACCTTGGAGACACTGAAGAAGGTAGCTACATCATTACAATTACATTACTGAATTTTTAACCTCAGAACTGCAATATTTCTTCAAATTAAAGCACGGTAAAATGTTTTTATTCCCTGTGCAGATTGATATGTGCAACTATATCAACATTAACGGAGTGACAGCCCACCCTCACATTGAGAATGATGGTACAGTGTATAACATTGGAAACTGCATGGGAAAAGGAGCAACACTGGCCTACAACATTGTCAAGATCCCACCCGAACAGAAAGGTTGGCATCACTGGGGTGCAACAGGAAGCACCTTAAAACCAGTTTTACAAAAATAAGTTGGTGAATGGTGAATGCAGAGTTAAAGGAATCACAGTGACCCCTCTCAAAAACCAAGAAATGTCTCCTAAAAGATGTTCTCTCTCTCTCTCTCAAATAATTATCTCTCTCTCAAATAAATTCAAAATATATTCATTTATGTTGTTAAATGAAGCACAATAACCCTTCTTTAGACAGTTTTAGGAACAGATAAAGAGTAAATTTAGCATTAATGTCCTAGAAATGAAAATATAAAAAGAGTTGACACTTACAACCTTCGCTTTCTTTCATAGACAAGTCTGATCCCATCGAGAAGTCCAAGGTGGTGGTGCAATTCCCCAGTGCTGAGCGGTTCAAGCCCTCCTATGTGCACAGGTGTGGGATTTTTTTTTTTAAATTTTATTACCAGTTATCCATTTGGTGTGTTATCATCCATGTTGTCACGAAAAGCTTTAATGGTCTCTCCTCATCAATCGTCAGCTTCGGGATGTCAGAAAACTACTTTGTCTTTGTGGAGACCCCGGTGAAGATCAACCTGCTGAAGTTCCTGAGCGCCTGGAGCATCCGAGGCTCCAACTACATGGACTGCTTCGAGTCCAACGAGAGCCAAGGAGTAAGATTCATATCTTTAGTGACTTTAAATGTGCTGATCCCTCAAAATGATCATCAGCTCATCATCTCATGATATCTCTTTTTAATGTACCTTTTTTTATAGACCTTGTTCCACGTTGCCAGGAAAGACCCAGGAGAGTACATCGACCATAAGTTCAAAGGGGCGCCCATCGGCATGTTTCATCACATCAACACCTATGAGGACCAAGGATTCATTGTTTTTGACCTGTGTGCTTGGAAAGGGTAACTGACTCGCTTTCATTTAAGCCTTCTCATATATCATCGGCAAACTCCTTTGATATCGGTGCACCCGTGTTGCTCACTGTTACTTCTTTCTTGCAGATTTGAGTTTGTTTACAACTACCTCTGGCTGGCCAACCTCAGAGCCAACTGGGAGGAGGTGAAGAAGGCGGCCATGATGGCGCCCCAGCCGGAAGTCCGCAGATATGTTATTCCCCTGGACGTCCACAAGGTTTGTCGGCTAACTTACTCATTCACAAGGACTCAAATTTGCCATTTAGAGACATAAAGTCTTTTATTTATTTGTTCTCATCTTATCGTGGACTTGATGTAGGAGGAGCAGGGGAAGAACCTCGTCAGCCTGCCGTACACCACAGCCACAGCGGTGATGCACGCCGATGGGACGATCTGGCTGGAGCCTGAGGTGCTGTTCTCTGGGCCTCGCCAAGGTGCCAACAAGACCATCAAACCTTTTTTTACTCTAGTGATGGTGGACACATTCATCTTTAATAGATACAGGAAATATTTTTACTATTTAACCATTTTAATATTTTTTTTTTGTAGCGTTTGAGTTCCCTCAGATCAACTACAACAGGTTTGGAGGGAAGAATTACACATACACCTACGGCCTGGGTCTCAACCATTTCATACCAGACAGGGTATGTTAATAAAATGCCTTCAATGGAAAGTGATTCAGAGTGTGTAAAACAAACTGTTTCATTAATGGATTTTGTTTTTCCCTTGCATGCAGATCTGCAAATTGAATGTAAAGACCAGGGAGACCTGGGTATGGCAAGAACCAGACTCCTACCCCTCAGAGCCCCTGTTTGTCCAGACTCCTGATGGGATAGATGAGGATGATGGTACGTCAGCAGCAGTATAAACACAATAGATTTAATTCCACACCATCTATAATAGAAACTGTTTTATGATAATCGCGTGCTGTGCCCAACAGGAGTGCTGTTGACCATCGTGGCGGCTCCCGGCTCCCAGAGACCAGCGTATCTCCTCATCCTCAACGCCAAGGATCTGTCTGAGGTCGCCAGAGCAGAAGTGGAGTGTAACATTCCTGTCACCTTTCACGGGATGTACAAACCCTAGTGATGCATCACTCAGGAAATCAACGGTAGTCGGCCATTACAGGGTTAACAACTGTCCCTCAATATTAGGATAAATTAAGACTAAATGTGACATTGTATCAGACAAAAATAAAGCTTTTTATCAGGAGAAATTATTGTATGTCTTCATTTGCAGGATACTAAGGTTGTTAAAGAAAATGAAATTATTACTGTTTGAATTTATGTCCCAGCTTGAATGTACTAGAAGTTCTATTCCTGAAATGACAAAATAAAAGGTATAAATCTTAATATTTCATGGGTGGAGAAATAAAGTCATCAAGATGAACACACTGCTGTTTTGTATTGATCTGTTATACGGCCTGATCATGTACTTATGTGGTAGCAGGTTAGCAAAGTGAATAAAGATACTGTCGTTCATCTCAGGCCCAACCCTGTGTGGAAGTGAATATTTACTGGATTAAATATTTTTAAACCAAACATTGAATTCCTCCCAGCTCCAGGCCTGTAGACCCCGTGCTCCCATCTGCCTGTTTGAGTCAGACAAAAAGATGTTGTTTTGTTTTTGACATCCTGATCTACTTTGCAGTGTTTTCTTAGAACAAGAAAGCGTTTCAACTGATGCTTCAGCAAACAAAAGCTCTGCCAATAATCCTTCATCTTAAATTCTTGAGATATTTGCAGAGATTTAATATGTTACCACACAAAATCTTATTATGGCCACATTTGAGCAAGTGACCTTTCCATGTCTGTCCTCATTGTGTTGCTCAAAGTTGTCTTGAATCTAATCTAAAAAGTAAAAGCATGCAGATCTTGCAGCACTGCTAAGCTGATTAACTGTGTCGATGCTTAGTCTGGAAAGAAAGAAAGGGCATGTTGCAATCAATTATTCTTTTTAAGTGCATAAAGATGTGGCCCCTTTTATGTCATGACCCCAAGTAAATCGCATTTAATTGTGTGTAAGATTCATGAACATAAATAAGGCGTATATATGGTCCGAGTTGTCTCATCTCGTGTTGATAGGGATAGACGAAAATTTCCCTTCTGTATTTGTAATTATAACTCCAATCTCAGATGTTCATAACAGGCAATTTTACTAAGTTTTCCTCCCCAGCTGATGCAAGCAACGGAAACAAAGCAGTAAACATTACTAATATGGCTTGGGCTCGCTTGCTACATCAGTCAAATGGAGAACCCTGATTACACAGTCACGTTTTCCACTCCACTGCCAGAATGTAGGATTGCATTAATGAAAGGCTCAAAGAAATATTTTGCAATCGTGTATTCTGTAATCTCTCATTTTAGTAATCATAGGGTCACAAATCTGCCCCTTTGCATGCATTTAGTCCACTTTACACACTGATCCCAACAGGACGGCTGCCTGTTCTTTAATTAAACAAAACCAAGTGTTTTTTCTGTTTATTTTTTTTTTTTTTTTTACATGAGGGCTTTTCAGCCTTCCAAAATGAAAGAAATAAAACAAGATTACAGGAAATATTAATTTTCAGAATAAACTTAGGTTGAAAAACACAGCAAAGGAAAGGCTCAATGGAAAACTTGATATCTCAGTTTTAACTATCACACCATAAGAGAAGTCTCTCACACTCTGAAATTCAGACGGGACAGAGGTTTGCACCAGTGTAATAGCTTTATACTTACTGTCCCAAATACACAGTGGATTTTACACAATTAACAAAAAAAAAAGTGAAGGTAAAAGATAAAACAGGTAACAGAAAAAAAGACAACCACACTGCCAACAAACAAGTCCACAAAGAATGATTTTTGTAACTACTGCGACAATGAATGGAAATAAAGCAACAAAAACATTCACTGTAATGTAACAAAACAAAAAATGTGATGTATAACAAAGAAAGTGACATTGTGTTAATGTGGATTCCAAATTTAAAAAGTCTAAAACTCACCTCAAAATTTTCCATATATTTCTTTCTCAAAGGAATAGTTTGACATTTTTGGAAATGCAATCATTCGCTCACTTGTTTCATACGGTAAATGTAGAGCTAGAGCAAGAAGGTGATGAGCTTAGTTCAGCATGAAAACTTGAAGCCATCCTAGCTCTGTCCAAAAGTTTTTTGGTAAAAATGGCCTACCAGCACCCCTAAGGCTCACTAACTCAACAAAGTGAAAATTACAATTTGTTGCTTTACAATGAGTTACAGACGGGCGACAAATTAAAAAGGAAAAACCTGAAAATAAAAAATGATTGGAGAAACAGTGACCCCATCCACAGGGCATGGCGGGGTCAATGAATGGTTTGATGAGTATGGTAATGGTGTGAAAAATATGCTATGGTCTTCACAGTCACCAGATCTCAACCCAGTTGAACACCTGTGGGAGATTTTGGACTGACGTGTCAGACAGCGCTCTAGACCACCATCATCAAACCACCAAATGAGGGAATGAATATCTTTTGGAAGAATGGTGTTCATCCCTCCAGTGGAGTTCAGAGACTTGTAGAATTAATGCCAAGGTGCATTGAGGCTGCTCTGGCGGCTTGCGGTGGCCTGACACCTTAATAAGACACTTTGGTTTTTTCTTTGTCACCAATCCTTACATACACAACAGCACATAACTCCTTGTAAAACCACATTTATGTTTACTTTACTGTCTGTGCACAGATTAATTAAACTACAAGGTGTTCATTTATGACCTTTGGGTGTTGGTAGGCATATTTTTCAACCTTAAACAGGGTCAATCTAGCAGTTCCCAGTCTTTATGCTAAGCCAAGCTACCTGCCTCCAACTCCATGCTTACCGAACAGACATGCGAGTGTTATCAATCTTGTCATCCAACTCTCGGCAAGAAAGTGAATGAGCAGATTTTCCAAAATGTTGAACTTTTGAACCTTGAGCAAGCCTCTGTCCCTTCACTAACACACAAAACACACAAGAATCAAAAATCAAGCAGAACAAAGCGGCGGCTCACACTACTGAATCACAGATTTCATGAAATACATCTTCAGGCTTACTTCAACATGGTAAGTGACTACTGACAGCTTTGAAAATATCTTTATCAGCTATATAACTTTTGCATCTCAGGAAATAAAGGAATGAAGTATTGATAGTGCAAGGTTATAAGGTACATATATTAATATATTGTTTTAGATACTGTCCTATAAGTAAAGTGCAAATCTCTGGATCAGATGAAAAGTGTGTGCAAGCATTTCTAATTTTTGACTGACTGATCCACCTGCCCATGCACAAATGAGCCCTTTACATTGGCTGCCAGCTACTTTACACATCGTCTGGTGAAACATTCACATTACACATCATCATTTTTCCCTTCAACTCAAAGCATATTTTAAAGTCAGGCTATTCGTAGCCAAAGATGAATATCATGTAGTCTTGATCTCCATTAAGTACAACTGTGTACTTATAAACTTTGGGTGATTTCTGTAAAGTGTGTGCATTATTTTTTTGTAATCCTGACTAACAGGAGAGAAATTTATTCTGCAGCTGTGTATTCCCACGTCTTCAAAGTGTAGGGCCATTTGAATGTGAGAGCATGTTTAGGAGATCAATATGTGGAGGAAATCCTCTTAGCATTTTGGTCAATAATTTGTTAACCTATTTGTCCATTTAAATGATGACTAACTGGGAATGAAGGTGATCTGGGGTTAGCTGTGGAGGAACACCACTGAGACCGGCTCAAGTGGTAAATGCAAAGTCATCAAACAGCCCAAACAGCTATCAAACACACTCTCACACGCGCTCTGTGTCAACACCGGATGGTGCTTCAGCATGACAAACACACACAAACAATCATGCAGGGTTGACTGGAAACAGTTTCTCACTGACTTGTGTAACTGATGTTTAAGACCAGCTTACTTAGACCTGGGGGCATAGAAGGCCGACATTAGGTGAGTAATTTTTGAAATTTTCAAAGTGCAAGACGACAGCCAACCTATTTTTTTTTAGCTCCTCACACTCTATAAGAGGGCAGATGTAATGTTTGTGTGTGGATTTGGGGCTGCAGGGGCCATTTTTGATCTAAGCATGGGGGTGGAGGGGTGAAAAATCAGTTGGTCTCGTAGGTGGAGAGCAGGGCAGCATCCACAGGCTCCATGCAGGAGGGGCAGGTAAAGGATCGCATCAGCCAGTCGTCTATACAGTCCATGTGGTAGATGTGCATACACGGCAGGAACCGGATGGGGTCCCCGTATACAAAGTCCAGCATACAGATCACACACCTGAAAATGGATGAAAGGAAGAGTTTAAATACACCAGTATATAACACCACACAAAACATCTGGGAGTAACTTTATTGTAATATCACTTCACTGCTGTCTTTTGTAGTTAAAAAAGACACAGATGTGGAACTGAAAATAAGTCCTTTTAAATAGGTAGTTGAGAAACAGAAAGTTACTTGGCAACAATATTAAAAAGCCATGATCAGTATATCCCTGGTTTGACTCTTGGCCGGCCGGATTGTTTACTGTATGCCACTCCCCTACTCTCTGTCCTAGTATTTGGAGCCCTCAAGTTATGTTATCAAATTTTCTGAGCTTTCTTGCTCTTGCTGAATGGAAATGAAACAAGTGGCTGCTTCTCCTTGGCCATTATAGCCAAATTACTAATGGTGTTAATGATATTAGGGCTGCAATGATTAATCGTTTAGCCTATAAAGCATCTGGACATGTTACAAAAATTGTCATTGCTGTCTCACAGCCTTAATGACACAGATATTAATTTTAAATTGACATAAATACATAAAAGTTATGAAGCCAAATTTTGCTTAGAGTGCTTTAGATATACATCATACAACATCCTCAGTTCAGACTTTGGGGATTGAAAGTATAAAAATGATTATTGCTTAATTTTCTGTCATTAAGCACACTGAATAATCAGCTAATTGTTTCATTACACAAAAAAATTACAAAACAAACATTTACAGCTTCACCTCTATATCCTTGGCCATTTTATGCCAGTTACAAATGCTTTTGTTTCTTATGGACCACATCATGCATCATGAGATGAACAATTAGTCACATTTAAACATGTCACAATATGAATATTTAGTTTAGGAGCACATTAGAAAATTATGTCTGAATGACTTAATATGGCTTAGCTTTACTGCAACCTCCCCCCTGTGAAGACATCACATGCAGTTATACAAAACGCTCACTCTCTGATCTTTTTCTCAGAGCCGTCTTGCCCTCCATCATAAACACCCTTAGGGAGGTGCTGGATGAGGCCGATGCGCTGAGCTATGCGGATCTGCTCCTCCTCTGTCAGCTGGGTGGCCAGACGGGCCTGACTAGGCGTGGGATGGTACATGGGCATGTGAGCCTGCTCCTGGTAACAGAAAAAAAACACTAACATGAAACAAAAACAACAAAAAGCAGTTGTCCTCCTATAGCACCTCACTTACATAAAGTGGACTGACAAGGACAAACTGAAAAATAAAGCAGCTGTCTGGTCTAGATACTTTGAATATGACATTAAAATCTAGTTGTACTCAGGTACAGTCGAAGATGACTTATAGAAAGGCCACAGGCATGGGACACGGGCATTTTCTCATGAATAACATCTACTGTATATTAACAATTGGGGGTTTAATTTAACACTGTCATCCGTGTGGAAGAAACAATTCTTTCTGGGAGGCGAGTGTTTTTGCAGCCACTCACCTGGTACGGCGGAGGAGGCTCCAGGTCCGGATCCGTCCCGTCACCGAAACTCGCCCTGTCTGACTGGGATTCATGAAGCAGAGAGATGTCGTCTGATGTCGGAGACTTGAGACAGTTGCCCATTTCTTCGTGCCCCCGCTCGTGTCCTCCTGGCCGACGTCAAAAAACAAAAACAAAAAAAGGAAAGAAAAATACAATCTGTTCTTCTTGTTGCTAAAGTTGCTCTCGGTGGCTAATGTTAGTTTTGTCTTCCTCCTATCCCAGAGACCATGAATTTACACTCATCTACCTGCTACCAAAGACACCCTGTGCATGGTTATAAAACGCCTACATAAACGTTAAATGTTAAAGCTAACATCCAAGCTAGTTTCTCTTCATGTTTACACGAAAAACAAAACAAAGAAGTCCTTGCTATCGTCAGCTAGCAGCCAAGCTAGCTACTTTTTCGCCCGACTTCCTTATCGCTCATTCCTTTGTAAGAATTGGAATTTCTACAAAATATCTACTTCAGCAGCCACTGTGGCTATTAGACTGAGCGGTCTGAGACTTGGACCGTGGCGACATCTCCCCCTTTTAACTTCGCGAGTAACATAAAACTGTTTGCTTCCTTGCTAGCTCTTAGCTCTTTCTTCAACCAGACGTCATGTTATCGGTCCGTTTGATATGACGTAAGAGGGGGGTGATTCTGCGCTGGTGATTGGATCATTTCTGTTACGTAGTCTCAAGAAAGAGCCAAGTCCCACCCCTTTTAATGACATCAACAAAATAAAGAATAATTGCTAACAGTGATTGATAATTAATAGACTCCATCAATAAATCAATTATCATAATAAATTATTCTAACATGAAATTAAAGATGTCCATGTGTAAAAAAAAAAAAAAAAAAACTCCCATTAGTACATTTTTCTGATCATATGTTTGTACCTTTACTAAAGTAAATGATCTGAATATTTCTTCCACTGCTGTTCTCAGAAGCTTTCACTTTCTCATCTTTTCTTCAGTTGTGCTTCTATTGCGAAATTTTGGTCAGATTTTAAACTACCAAGTATGTGGCCTAGCTGTGTATATCTTAACAGTATACTGTTTTCATTTTGTCCTTCGCAAACACTAATATCAATATGTTTGTCAATTTCTAACAAGGTAAGCAAAATTTGAATGTTAAAAATATCATAATGTATTTTAAAAGAACAATGATTAATTTTATTGTAAATGTTATTACCTTGATGGGTAAATATATTATTCATAATCGTTGACGTTGACCTTCAGTATAATTACTATTTAACTTTGAGACTTAACTTTTTTTTAAATTCTCTAAAATTAAACAGCCCTGCACACCCACACTCACTCACACAGGTGTTTTCACTTACTCACTGATTAGACCTCTGCTCAGTTTGCAGGTTGTGTAGAACTAGATTGGAGGACCTGTTGCCTTTTTAACATCAGATATTTTGACTTGTCAAGGTAAGAAAAGCACAGGTGTTACTAATATCTTATATAATAATAATAATAACCTTAATAATGTGTCTGTTGTAAGTCATGTGTGTGACTGTCAGTCAGCACCAGGACCCTAAAACTGAAGCAGCTAAATCGAATTCAGCCATAACAAGTGCTACAAAACTAATAGAAGGATCAGAGAGATGGCAGTCAAACACGGTGTAGATGCCAATACCGTCCTTAGAGGAGGCTTTAAAACAAACATCTACAGAATTAAATTTTTTAAGTGAATTTTTGAAAACTCTTTCATTCTGTGTACTATGTATTTTTTATTTGAATATATAAGCTATTATTGTGTAGTCACTTTCATTTGTTTAATATTATTATGATAAATGTAATATGGAAATATGTGGTCTGTTACAGATCTCTCTACTTGACATACTGTACGATTAAGCTTCTAATACATAACAGAAAAGGCACAGCATTATCTTTCAGATTATCAGACAAGCAGATAAAGGGAAAACGCCAATGGGAAAATCCATTATTTGGCAGAGGCTAGCTTCAACAATGTGTGAGTGTGTAAAACAATATAAACAAGTACCTGCATCTTTCAGATACCACCGTATGAACAAAAGTAGGTTTAGTGTATAGAGATAACAATATATATTAAATAAAGCAAGAAATAAATGCACAAACAGAAATTTTCCAAATGTACTTTGGTTAGTTTTTTTTTAGAAACTGGTATTGCAATGCTCTCATGGTTTTACCACACTTTACAAAATAAAAAATAAAAAGACATCACAACTTGAGGACACCTTTATTTGTATATACAGCTATTGTACACATAAAAACCCACAAAGTATTTGCATTCCAGGAATTTATGATACAAATCTCCATGTTTTTGGTTAAGTGAGTTTCACAGAATTGGCCTTCTTCAGGCAAATAAAACAAATACACAAACCTTAAAATGAACATTTTCAAAGATTCCTTTACCTTTAAAGCTCGTCAGCTCATACTGTTCATCATCTTTTTCTCTAAATGTTACAAACAGCATAATTTCTCTGTACATTATTAGTAAGTAATAGAGTTAATGTTAATTTGTGAAGCAAAATGTGTCATGGTGTGTCTACAGTGTTTCTACAGTCATCGTCTGCAATGGTTCATACAATATTCACAAGGAAGAAAAAAGGTGAAAATAGATGAAAGATCATTTATTTTTTATATCCGGTCGTGGTTAAAATTACACGGCCTACAACTCTCAAAATCAAATGTTAAATATAACTGTTGGAAAGTTCTCATTTAAAAGGTGTAGACTAGTAAAAATAAAAATAACAGACTGTTTTGAAGGATAATTAAGAAATTTTAAAGGTTTGAGGTTTGGTGGAGGCATGGTGAGCAGAGTGAATTAACAAATAAGCATCTTTTCTACGTTATTCTATAACTGTATTCATATCTCACAACTTATTTTGTTCAATACCAAAAACAAAAATGTTGGGGAAAATCAAGCAGTTTTTCCCCTGCACATTCATTCATACTGTAAAAAAATCCAGCATTATTGAGTGTTACATATTAGTATCCACATTGTCTGGTAAAGGATCAGATCGCCTCTTCAGGATGGCTTGTTTTATTGATCTGGTCTAATAAATGGCAATGGTGTGATGATCACAATGTATTTACAAAAACACGTAATTTATAAGAAAATGTAGTTACATATTCACACACCCCACAGATAAATACCGTTTAGAGCAACACTGAATCATTTAGAAACATATTCAGAAATGAAAATACCTTATATTGACACAAATGACATAATTTGATCCATTCATTTCATGTATTTTCTGCATCCCATGACTATTTGAGGTGTATTATTACTCTCTATCATCAAGTACAAGTCAGGAAATAGACCTTATTCATTGTCAGTGTTCTGTGTGAATTGGCAACTACAGTTTCAGGAAGTATTGTTCTTCGTCGTTTTGGGTTCACATTTTACCAAACATCCAGAGGGCTCATGGCCTCAAAGCACTGATGCAAAAAGAGTCACATTGACCTTCACTCTGTACACTGTTGTACAGCGTCCTCCTCTAACACCTCTCTGGGATTCCCCCTCTTCTTCCATGCTGTGCCTCCTGTCCCTAGCACCTGTCGTCCTCCTCTGTGTCGCTGAGAGGATCACAGCCAGTAACTGAAGTCGTCTGCGCCAGACGCTTCCGAAAGTGTCCGTTGGGGACCTGCCAGCCAGTCCGCAAGCGCGGGCGGGCCGAGCTGATGGTGTTTGCGCGTCCTAGGCTGCAGGCCACAGCCGCCTCAAAGGTCAACGTCTCCATGGGACCGGAGGGGTCTGGGCTGTGGTCGTCCTCTTGTGAGGCCAGGAATGGCTCGGAGGGGTAGCGTCGAGGTGGGGACGGGTGTCGGCCTGCCTCACTCCGCCTCTCTCCTGCGACCCCTTCTTCAGTCTCCCAGGTGGGCTTGCCTCGCCTTATGGTCTCTGGGCTGCCCTGTTCATCCTCGTCTTCACCGACGGAGGCTTGTGTGCGACACACGAGCGGGGAGTAGGAGATGTGAGGGCGAGAGCGGGTTGGTGTTTGCGATAATGGTCGTCGGCCGCTGGGGGTGCTGGACTCTGAGGTGGATGGCACTGGACTGTCTGAGCTGTTGCCCTGAAGACAAGAATAAAGAACAAGAAGCACTCAGACTGCATCATGTCCTGCTATGACCTCCAAGACAAAAGAACACATACAGCACTAGTACTTTATCATCATGAATGAGACGTTTCAAAAGAATCTGGACCTTACCTCATTAATATGCAAATGTATGCAGCACCGTTAATCTGCCTATTTAAACTAGCAATTTAAAAGTTGAAAGTAAAAAATGTTAATATGTATTGACTTTCAGTGGAATCTGTCTGTTGATGTGACAATAACCTATGGTTTTACAAATTCTGTTCTCCACTTTAATGAATTCGAGCAAATTATGATTTAAAACTGAAGTTATAGAAGGTTTTGTGTAATGTAATGCATAACAACAGAACACAGTTCATGTGTATTTACATGCATTTGTTATATTGTAATTTTCTGTAATATTGCAACTATACCACCCATCTTGAGTTTGTAGTGGGAAGCATGCTGCAGACATTTTCTACAGCTTTAGACTACATAGTCAGCTGTTTTCTAATCACAAAATGCTTCTCTATTCTTGTCCCCAATGCAATAGAAAGAACCTTTTTTTAGTGGCCTGCGCAGAGCAACAGCAACATTCATGTGAACATTTAAACTCATCAAAAACAATATGAACAGGGTGATTGATGTGTAAGAAAAGACTACACGGAAGGTAAATTTGCTTCTTCACTTTTAATTTTACAGACGTCAGTGTGTTTTTCACCTTGCTTTGTTGCTGTTCAGTTCTCATGAGTTAATTGGAGTTTTTGGAGTTTTTCTGACTTACCTGTTTATCTTGGGGGTGTTCTCTCTCTACGCTGGAGGATCGTGAGGGCTGCAAGCTTCTTTCCTCTGAGTTGCAACGAGACGTGTCTGGAGAGAGGAGGTGACAGCGCTCCTTAGACCGGCCACGCTCCCTGTCGCCCTGCTGCCTGTGTTCAGACCGAGAAACTAGTGGACAGACATTCAGAAAAGGGACGACACAAAATAACAGAATTAAAGGAGAAGTGATGGTGAAGAGCTTATCTGTAAGTCTTCGTCTGTGGTGGCGTATGTACACTGTGACTTGGAGTTACCAGCAGCCTTGTAGCTTTTGTGACGAGGTCGATATACTCGCTCGGGACTTTTCTCCTCCTGCCAAAGACCGTTCACCCGCTGATCCCCAACAGTGGACGCTGAACGCTTCATGGAGCCGCTTGCAACCTCTGACTGCTTGTATGTGACAACGCACACGGACAAACACAAACATGCAAGCACAGGGTACATACACAAAGGAAACATTACACATACTCTAATTACACTCAGATTATTTCATTCAGAAATAAGTGGACCAGTGTGTTTAGCGATTCTTTATCATGCTTTACGCAGTACATTTTAGTCTTTCCTTTATTCTGGAAATGAAACAGATTGAGGTAAGAAGGCGATTCAGCATTCAAGGATCACATCCCTTTCTAACAATTCACTGAGCCTTAATCCCAGAGGAGCAAAAGACAAACCAAAACTCTAGTGATTTAAACTTCTCTGCATCTCGTGCACGTAAAGATCGAGGCACTTTGGCATTAGAGCCCATGCAGCCAGTGAAGTCCTCAAGATCCAGTCATTCCATGTCAGGGAAGATGTGTGTACCTGCGAATCTACTGCCAGACGGGGCATGGAAGAGGCCCGCACACACAGGCCCCTCCCTAGCGGAAGCTCCAGTGGGGCTTCAATCCCCCTACTGCACTCGCCCACCTAGGTGAGTACAGAAACAAGAGAGGAGGGCAAGGAGAGACAGAGCACCGATCAGGCTCGTCCCCGCCAGGACTGCCTCTATACACAGAGGTCCAGTTCAGGTGAGAGGGAGACAAACCATTCCATCACTGAGGGTCATCTATCATAGCCATCACCATTCGCCATCCAATGAGAAGCCATTCCAGCCAAAAACGGACAGATCAACAACTAGCAACAGGAAAACTGACTTCAAGGAAGGAGAGAAACAGAGTGAGGTTGTGTAAGAGGAGGGAAGAGTGAAGAAGAAGAGCAAGAACAGACAAAAAACATAACAGTTTACAGGGAAAGATGGGATCCATATTTCAGCTTGGAAGGACATGTAGTCATGCATATTCAGATCTTACTAGCTACACAAACAGAGCCAGACAACATCTGTCCAGGGGCCGAACACATTCCTCTGCACACTAACGTGGGGATTTCAGAATAATTTCGTATCATTCATCTAGCAGGCAGTGTATACCAGTAAAACCAGACAGTATGCACAGCAAAACATCAACAATCTGATAGTCCGCCTCTGCTATTCCGACCTCCACGGGACTAAAACATAACCAAGACAGGAGCACAGAGAGAGTCAGCGATGCCGTGCTCTGCAAGGCACTGAGAGCAAAGTCAGAGCAGTGTCACCAGCTGAAACATGTTCATACCGTTCCTGAACAGTTAAATGCTGAAATAAAAATGTTGTGGTTTATATATTTTGAAAATCTGTGATTTAAGTCAGTGGTTCCCAAGAAGAAAAAAATATGAACCAAAATTTGACCTAAAATTATAATTAAAAATGGAAAATAAAATAAAATTGCACTTTTGTTTACTTGATTACAACTGTGGATGGATTACTGATGGCCCACCCAGCACAAGCCCAGGGGCCGAAAGGGTCCTGGGTGCCCCTTGGTCGGAGCCTCTCTGTGAAATTACTGTTACTATCATTTCTTGTTAAAAAACTCAGAGCTCAGTTAAGAGTAGGAATGTTCTTCTCAATTTTTTGGCTCCTGATCTGGACCAGAGTCTTTTAATATAGAATATCTGCCAAAAAATCATTTCATATTTTCACTCATTTTATTTTCAAATTACAGCTGGACAGCTACGGTAACATTTGATTAAAATACAATAAAATTAGTGAGGCATTTAAATCAAAACAGCAGAATATCTCCTAACCTGCATCTCAGACATTCTTTGGTGTGCTTTTCTGTATAAATACAGAAAATATAGTGTCAGTGTGGATCTGCTGTAGCAGGAAGGTTCTGAGGGTTCTGATTCACCTGTAAAATCTTCTTTTAGTCTGGGAGTCTGGTCCCTATGTAGGAGGGGGGCTTTTATATGTCTGTGCCCAGTGGCCCATGGTCTCATAACACATCCACAGTCACACCCCTACATCAAGGCAACTTGTGAAAAGGTGTTGCAAGTTGACAGTTCTTTGTTTCAAAGGGTTGTATATAAAATAAAAAAAGTTGTGAATCACTGCTCTAGGACATGGCTGTGGTATTAATGATTTATGCTCACATTGGCCCTCCGTCTTACCGGATTCTGCTGTTGATTTGCATCAGTGTCAGAGCTGATGGGCTGCAAAAACAGTTCCTGGGGTGAGATCGGGCTCAAAGCCACAAAGCCTCCTCTGGTCCTGTGTCAGGATTGGGAAAAATAGTGAGCAAAACACAAAATAGAGACACACACAGGTACACAACTTTGCACACATGTTGCAGACTCACAGGGCTGAACCAGCGCTGTGAGCCATCATTGGCAGAGGCTGGGTGTTGGAGAGAATGTCCTCTGGGAGGGTGGAGGCATCCAGACGCTTGAACATCAAGTTACTCTTCTGAAATGAGGAACAAAAACACAAGTCAGAGGATTTCCCTCCAGCTCATTCATTTTCAAGCATGCCACAGTACTGTAAAAGAAAAGTCTAATGGATCTGATAGAAGATAATTGAAACTGTGCTGTGAGGTTATATAAAAATTATTTCTTTGAATAATAATTGTAGGACTGGGTGAGAAATTTGATTGCCAATAAGAAAAATCAAATTACAAAAGAAGGTGTCAGGAAGTTTATAATGAGCCGACCTGAGCTTCTAGTTGTTGCCTGAGCTTCTTGGCTTTGTTCTGTTTGAAGTAGTCCATTATCATCATCGAAGCGTAGATCTTCCCCACGGTCATGTCCGTATCTGTGAGGGCAGACACACTACATTAACTGTTACTGCTTGTCTCTCAGTGTTACACTGAGTATTTCCTCCATAGTTAGAGCCAGACCTTTGTTGATAGGTACCAGTAGGTCCAACGTCTTCTGGGGCAGATAAGGCCAAATGATACTGATCTCTTTCTGCAGTTCACTATCCAGAGCGATACGGTCCTCACCACCTGTGACAAACGTTCACATTCAGAATATTCTATATTGACTGATTGCCGTTAAAGCTGAAAGGATCAGTCAGTTGATTAAAATATGTTGACATGTTTTTTTGAGTGGACTGTTGGTCAGACAAAACAATCAATTTAAAGATGCCATCTTGGGCTTTAGACCCAACAATTCATTCATCATTCACAAAATCATAAAAACAATCATTAGTGTCAGTCCTGAACGCCACATGACTCTGACCTCGAGCTATTTTGATCTCCAAAGCTGTGCGGATGAGCGACATCAGAGTGGAGGTGAAGTGGACGGTCATGTCCTCGTCCACAGGCATGTTCATCAACACCAACCTCTGAGGAAGACGAGGAACGGAGAGAGGAAGACAGAGGGACATTCTTTTATTAATTATTTATTCTTTTAATCACTTCCAACACAAAAGTTACAACATATAACAACATAATACACATTCCATGATTGAAAAGGAGCAGGGAGGAGAGAGAGCTTATATCACCAGGCCCCTTCTCAAAATAAGTTATATCATCGAATTATTTGGTGTCTTTTTATTTTATTAAATTGAATAATCGTTGAACAACATTTCAAATGTGACTTGATCATCAGCAGCTGATCTTAAAACAAACAACTTCTGTAAATCTTAAGGCAATAATCTGTTTTTAGCTTTAAACATGACAAACAAAGTTTTAAACTCAACTGTATCCTTCAGTTTTATTACTCTCAATTATGTTGTAATGATCCCTTGAATGCACCTTATTTGTAATTAGTATGGCTCTTCTCTGTTGTACACAGTATACAATGGATTTATATTATATATATATATATATAAAAGATTTTACTTGAGTTGTCAGTTCATCTAGCCTTTCTATGTTTGGGAAAAAGGGATCATGTTTTCAGTACCTTATAGGCGATCTTAGCAGGACATTTTTTACCCAGGCCCAGGGGCGGCGACATGTGTGTCAACATCTCGTACATGGCTGTGTAGTGGATACGACCACTTTAGGAGAAAATAGAAGAATAAGGTGGAGAGGTCAGTGAAAAGAGGTATAAAACTTATAACTAATACTGATCAAGACAAACAGCTAGCTCATATTCCAAAGTGTTGTTTGGCATTTGAAACATAGCATTTAAATATTTAATGACTCACATTGTTTTTATTTTCTTTAACTTTAGCACAAGGAAGTTTAGAATCTCCTTCGGACTTGAAAACCAACTTGTACAAAGCATGTCTGCTCAATGTACTGAAACTTTAAGGTATTTAACATTTCACACCCTTTGGCTGCCCTCTGCTGGATACACATAGAACATGAATGTTGATCAGGTCTGCTTGTAACAAAATAAAACTTAATATGTAAAAGATGCAGCAGTAATAAGGTAATAAACTCTCACCATGCCAAACGATCATACTCCCCCCAGATGCGGACGAACTCGTCCAGGTGATGAGGACCGAGGATTGAGGAGTCTCGTGTCAGGTACTCGAAGTTGTCCATAATCACAGCCACAAACAGATTCAGCATCTGAGGAGGAACATCAACAGATGATTTGAGGAGGAAAGCAGCGTGAAAAACAGCAGAGAGAGGTGTTGGTGCAGGAAGGTTTCGGCCCTGACCAGGAACGAGCTGAAGAAGATGAACGAGACGAAGTAGCAGTAAGCGAAGTCAGTCCCACAGCCTCCCTCGTGGTCTGGAGACATGGTCAGGGGGGAGATGGAAGGGTCTGGCTCACACTCCTGACCTGACAGACAGGAGAGCATGATCTCCTGCCAGGACTCTCCTGTCGCACTCCTGATGGTTTAAACACAAACAAAAATCTAGATATCATCCAATACATATCAACTTCGCAAAAAAAAAAGTATTAATTTAAATCAAACTGAACATTAACTTAAATTTTCATGAGGCTGTGAACAAATTTTTGACAAACCCACCTGAACAGAAGCATCAATGCGCTGAAAAACGTCTTAAAATTGTTGTGCTGATTGATGTGACTCTCGTCGTTCAGCTTGATGTTTCCAAACACCTGCAGAGAACGGGCTGCTTCAGTAAAATAATCATTTTGTTTCTTTTATTAGCTGCTAATCATACCTGGGTCCACACATTAAAAGATGTGCAAAAAAAAAAATTCAAGAAAGCAAGATCCAACTGAAAAACATAATAACCCAACAAAACAAAGCAGCTGATCCCAAAACAATACCAGTTACAACTATTGAGAATATCAATAAATGGTTAAAATTACCTCATGTAATATAGACACACAAGCTCACACAAATTACAACACAATAGCTACTTTAAGAAGACAACCATCCACTAAATTCATTTAACTGCTTCAGCTACATCTGCATTCGTTTCTTAAAAATTCTTGATTCTCTAAAACTGTTTGGTAACTTATTCCAGTCTTAAACAGGATCCCTGAACATAACTGTGTGTTTTAGAAGACTTGGCTAAAAAGAATAGCTAATTACAGCCAGCTGAGAGTCTGCTATTTGTGATATGATGGAGCTAAATGTCGTTATACCTGCATTCCAATTATGGCATATATGAAGAACAGCATTGCAATGAGAAGACAGACATAAGGAAGAGCCTGTGGCAGAAAAAACAAAACAAAGACAGGTGGTTAAAACTGAACTGTCATCAAGGCAAGAATTTAAATTTGTTATATAGAAAAACAGAAGAAAATAGATAATAATATGTCTGACCTTAAACGACTGTACGAAGGTCCACAGCAGGATACGGATGGTGTAACCCTGTCTCAGCAGCTTGATCAACCTGGCTGTTCGGAAAAGCTTCAGGAAACTCATGTTGATGGTGTTCACCGACTGGGACAGACGCACAAAACGGTTGGGGAGAGGGTGACGCAAAAGAGCGGGAGAGAGTGGCAGACAGAAGGGTCATAGAGAGGATGTAAAACACAGATGGCGAAATTCATCACAACATGACTTAAGTTTTGTCTGGAGGCAGGGATCATAGCACTCGAGGAAACTTGGAACGAAAGAATGCTGCATTCAAAGCCGTATATTTAAGTCTTTTTTTTTTCTTTATTTTAGGGTCACAACATTGTGAAAAAGAATGTTGTCTTGGCAGTATCTTACCTGTAAATCCACAATTATCTCTGTGATGCTGCCAAGAACAGTGATGAAATCAAAAATATTCCAAGTATCTCGAAAGTAGTTCTGCGGGAAAGAAAAATTTGTTCATGATTTGACTCAACATAGACAAATTCAATAGTAGTTAATCGAGATGATAGTTAATCTGGATAATCTGGAATTTAAATGACTCCTTTCTTGTAATAATACTCACAATAAAACCAAATGCCATAATCTTGAGTACGCACTCCATCGAGAAGAGGACAGTGAACGCTGAGTTCAGGTGTTTCAGGACTGTGTCGTACGCTGTCGGGGCTGAGTGGTACTGAGGAGAAAAACACTAAATTAATAACATCACTGATACAGATTGTTTTGGATTTAACTGTTACATTTGGCCAGACATGATAACTACCTCCACTCCCACTTTTAAAGACCACCACATAGGCTTTGCATTTTTTTTTTTATCCCATCAACAATAAATTTAGCGTATTGTACAACACTTCTGATCATTTTCCATAGAATACCTTGAATTAATCGATTTTCTGATCATGCAAAGCTGTCGGTTTAATTCATTTTGATATGAAAATATTCTTGCAGAGGCTTGAGATTAGTTGTCCATCACAGTGAATCATTGCCTTTATTTATATTTTTGTCAAAGTTCAGCTATTGTGGTGCAGCAGTATTGAGCAGTAACTCTTCTGAAAAAACAAAAAACAAACAAAAAAAAATTGTTTGGAAAGGCGTGGTCTTTGCTGTCAAGTCTGGTGTCAATCAAACCTCGAGGAGAAACTATAAATGAACATGAGCACTGTGAAAAGTCTTTGGCATTCACGTCTCGAGGCTCACACATGGTCGTTTCTTCCAGAACTCAAAAACTTGTCTGTTCTTAAAGGAAAGCTGCAGTATATTTGAACTTTAACAGCTTTCACCCTAATTTCCATTGGCTATAATAAAACTACTGACACGGTAAGTGCTGAGATCTGGAGGTGTCATTCTAGACACGATGTAAACAAGCTGACAATTCAGCCAGATTACCTAGACCACCTTATTTGGAAGTCAAACCTGAAGTGAATGCACCCAAAATGTTACTGACAGAAAAAACAGTGTGCACAACTATGGTAAGTGCAGCAGGTCTGCAACTGTGATGGAAGTTTACTATGGACATCTGGGAAATAATTTTACTGTTTGCCAAAAAAGTTAGACTAACATGGGAGTTTGTTCAGGACCTGAATGATCATCTAACTGTGTTTGTATTTCTTTCCCTGTGAGACTTCTTCTTAGCGATATTGCCATGTTCCCACATCATTGAAGGGGTGTAATTATACACACATCGCGTATAAGTGCAAGGCTGTTGAAAACCAGCTTCAATGTAAAAAGTAGCACCTGCTCACTGAGTCCAAGCCACAACATTTGTTTAAACGGACAACGTTTTGATCCCAGCTGTTGTGGTTAACCACCCAATCCAGGCGAGGTTAGAAACACCGCAACGCAATTAATAATTTAAAGAGTGAATCTCAAAGAGTAGAGGTACAAGACACAAAACAGTACATCAAAACATCAAAAATAGAGTGATAAGCTAGGAAAAAGAGAAATCATAAAATATTGTACAAAAAGTATCTTACAATGGATGAATAACCCAATAAAGTCACTCCAGGAAATCTGCACACATATGTATTGTGTTTCACTTTTAACATACACAAACATATGTGTGCAATGGTCGACGACGCAGGTCATTTTTAAGCATTTTGACCTCACAAAGATCCAACTGTTGTCTTTTTGAATCAATTTTGTCGCTTAGAGTTAGTGTGATATTATGTAACAGTAACAATGTCACTGTTACATAATAATAACATGGTTATCTGTTGATCAGAGCTCTGAAAATAAAACTGACTTTGTGGTAAGCCATAGTTCTCCTTGAATTACATCACAAGCGCAAAAAAATAAAATGGCTGAACTGTTCACTGTCATGTCTTTAAGCCTTTTAAGTCACTGAAAGTAGTTAGTTTCAGTCTTATGCAAACATGTCAAACACAAGGTCTAACTGTACCTCTGCTGCAGAATGGATTATGCTTTGCCGAGTTCTTTACCTTCATCATGAGGACCACGGTGTTGAGGGCGATCATGACGAGCACCGTGTACTCGAAAGAGGGCGACGCCACAAAGTGCCACAGCCTGTACTGAAAGGTCTGTCTGTTCTGGGGCATGTAGCGGGTCATCGGCTTGGCGCTGATGGCAAAGTCGATGCAAGCCCTCTGATGGAGAGAAATTGAACAAATCAGACACACAGAGCTGCAGATGACCCTTGATTCTTACGTCAATACGTGCGAATGTATCCGCATGTGTGTGTGTGTGTGTGTGTGTGTTAGTTTGAGTCTCTGCTCCACACCTCGTTCTTTTCCAGACTGCACTCCTGAATCATCTTGTCACCCTGCTCCTGGAAGGTGATGATGATCAGAGCCACGAAGATGTTGACAAAGAAGAACGGGAAGACCACGAAGTAAACCACATAGAAGACGGACATCTCCATTCGGTTCCCCCGACTCGGCCCCATGTTCTCCTCTGTTACATCAGTCGAGTGCTGCAGGACCCTGCCAGCAGAAAAGACACTTGAAACCACTGTTAGGTGGAAAACTGGTTCTTTCCAGTGGTTCCTTCACCTGAAGACATTTCGGGATGAAAAAAAGCCTATGAATTGTGTGTATTATTTTGTACACTTACTGAGGCCATCCCTCTCCAGTTGAGACAGTGAAAAGTGTGAGGAGGGCCCAGCAGACGTTGTCGTAGTGAAACTCATGTCTCCTCCACTCTCTCCTCTTCACCTCCTTTTTGTCTCTGCTGTAGTCAATGTAGTAGCCTCTGTAGGGAGCAGAGCAGCCCGGAGGCAATCGTTTCACTTCACTCGCTGATTAAACCAGCAGTTTCAATGAAGAGAAATACATTAAGTCTTTTAAATCTTTTTACTTGTAAACATTACCCTGTTGACTGGTGAGTCTGCAGTCTTTGTATTGCCAGCTATTTGACTCGGGACTTCTGAGTAAAATCAGCCCATTGCTCTCTGTTGTCTGAAGTTTAAATGTCATGAAGGTTACAGTCATTTTGCTGTTCAGATATATCCACTTACTGGCATTCCTTCTCTGAATTCATGGAGCTGTCAGTGCAATAGAAGAACTTCCCCTTGAAGAGCTGCACCGCAATGACAGCAAAGATGAACATGAAGAGCTGGTACACAATGAGGATGTTGAAGACGTTCTTCAGAGATGTGACCACACAGTCAAAAACAGCCTGTAGGGAAGAAGCACAAGAAGGATGGCAAAGCAAATCAAATCTGTCAGAGATCTGTGAAATGACACTGAACTACTGGAGAGTGTTTGCAGAAGTTTATATCATACCTTGAGTTTAGGGAGTCTCTTGATAGTTTTAAGAGGCCGCAGAACTCTCAAAACTCTGAGTGACTTTATTGTCTTGATGTCTCGGCCTTTGTTGTTCCTGTTAACATTGAAATACAGCAATTAGGAACATAGCGGTACATTTAAACTGATGCACAAAGACACATTTACAATGGTGAAAAGGAAAAACAGTAAAATCCATACAAGTGCATATCAAAAAAATAAAAAATAATAAAAATAAAAATAAAAAAAATAAAAAAACACAATGAAACATAGACCTGCAACTTGAGTGTGTTTGTACGGAGCCCAGCAGGTGTCAAGGGTCAAATCTTTGGTAATTCTTTTAAATTTGACTTAATTATATGTGCACACAAAACAGTTATAGATTACCTTGCATAGTCATGTCCTTGAATTATGAAAATTGTGATGATGATGTGATGAAATTGTGCCTTAAATTTCCCACTCCCACTTGGGCTGAAAATGTGATGTTATTGTAGGTTAGCAGCTGTGTTTTAGTGTAGAGCCGCCAAAAAAAACGAATATATTCCATCAAGGTCACAACAATCAGTTATATTATTCATCGTATTTGTCCTTGTGTGAAGCCCAAGCTTGAACTCCGACACTTTTTTTCAGTTAATTACTGTGCAAAAATTTATAATTTGTGGGAACGAATGACCTCTTAGTGTACACAAATTATCAAAGATTTTACCCCTGATACCTGCCAGGCTCTGCAGTTTGGTGAGATTTGAAAGACACGACAAAAAAACAAAAACATTTTAAGTAAAAAAAAAAAAAAAAAAAAGGAAAATCAGACACATGAAAATAAAAGAAATATATGAAAAGCGTATGTGAGACGTTTTACATTTAGTGTGACTAAAATTTTTACCCCATCACATTCCTGGTAGCCCCAACAGTGACACAATCCACAGGAACAACAGAGAAAAAATTGAGGCATAAAGAGAGATAAGCTCAGAGGATCACAGCTATATTCACAACAGAGAAATTCACATACACTACAGTCCTCTACGGTACAACAAAGGGCACAAAAGGTCCAGTTAGTTGTCTGTAACATTCACGCTGGAAAAGACAACAGAAAAAAATATATACTTTAACATCAGTCATGACACACCCCACCCATGTGTTATAATCCCCAGTTACATAGGAATCCATCGTTTCCTGTACAGGACTTTGGATGCCTCCATATTTGCAGTTTTTGAGCTGCCCCCTTTGTCAATGAAGCAGACTGCATTCTCCCTTTTTTTGAAGCTGTGTTTGAGGGAAGGTTGTTTATAACAATACTGTATGCTCAGAAAATGATTTGCTGCAGTGACTCAGTCACTAGTCATAGGCAGGCAGCACTAGATAGTGACTCACGTTAGAGCAAAGGCAATCAGAGCTCCCACCACCACAATGAAGTCCAGCATGTTCCACATGTCCCGGAAATAAGAGCCGTCGTGCAGAATGAGACCTTGGTCTATCATCTGGAGGACAAACACACACCCACAGGGACAGGTAAAGTGAACACGTTAAATACACACCGGGACCAAAACCTTATGAGTAATTCTGGAGCAAAGTTAAGTTCTTTAAAGGCGTGAGTGAGTGATGTTTCAGTTACCTTAATGATCATTTCAAAGGTGAACACTCCAGTGAAGACATAATCAAAATAACGGAGGACCTGCGTAATTTACAAACATAAAGAAAAATGCACATTCAGTTTTTCATTGTGAACACACTTCACACCCAAAACCTGTTGTTTGTAGTATGGGATTCAGGACACACTGATAGTAGTACAGCTCTCAAAGAGTAGCCTACATAAAACTCAAAAAACACCTTAGCCCCATGCCGGCGGCAAAGACCTTGTTACCCTTCAGTTAGCAAGCTTCTCACTGCCACTAAATAAGACTTGTAGGATGAATCAGTGTGTCTCTAAGCAGTTTCAAAGTGTAGCTCTAGGTAACCTTCATTACTGGACTGAATAGATTATATAAATATGCAAAGATGCTGAATGAATTCAGATTTTGTCTAACTCTGGGATCCTTGAATCAGGGCTCACAAATTTTCGCTTGATGCTGTTAGAGTCCTGCAAGGGTTACTCAAGAGATTTAGTAATACAGGACTCGCAGGAGACATATTGGGAAAAGAATGGTGAAAATAAATAAAAAATGTTTAGACATGGGTATGCTCCAAAAACACTGGATCCTACATTTCCCACAATGGTACTTGATAGCATCGTCTTTCAAACTCCACAACCCAGTTTGTAACGCAGGGTTTCTGTTTTATATATGAAATCTGCTAGGATACGTTACTGTGTGAGTGACTTAGAGTAAGTAGAAAAAAAGCCGTCCAAAGAATGGCAAATAAATAATGTAACTTTCTTTATCTTTTGCTCATATGTTAGGAAAATAAAGTGTAGATTTTACTAGTGTGTTTATTTAGTTACTCTTGACACTTTCGGTGATACCGAGTTGTGAAAAACAAACTGCACAGCTATTTCCCAGACTAAACTGCTGATTCTCACCTTGTATGTGCGTGAAACCCAATGTGTCATGACACATTGTTGCTGACACAGTGTTATGTCAACTTGAGATCAAACCTTAAAGAGCATGCATTGAGCTAAAACCTCATCAGTGGTATCTTACAATGAGTGAATTGGTGTTTTTTTTATGTCTGATTCAGATGTTTGTTTCCTCGGGGATAAATGTTTGTAAAAGAGCAAGTATACATCAAATTCAGTCGATGATATTAGCAGGTTACTTGACATCTGCTGCGCTGCAACAACAGTGAAAGCATTGTTGTTAGTGTGGTCAAATGTGTGTGAATGTCGGATCGTCATTTTCAAAAATATACTAAAGCTCTTACACTTCCATTCACTGCATCCTTGCTCAGGTGTGCGTAGGTGATAAAATATGCAGGGTTTTAACTCCACTTTCAAGTTTTTGATTTTTAAATTCTTTGCACAACTGCTTTTGATACTTTTTACATTTACAAATGAGTGTAACACTATGCATGTCTTCAAGGGGACACTGTCCCTAAGTGTGCACTGTTCTCCCACTCCTCATCAGTTTTATTCAGTTACAATGCACCGCAGCATCTTTTATCCTATGATCTGATCATGAGCAAAACGACAAACACTTAAGAAGAAGAAGAAGCTGCATTCGGATCTCACCTTGTTTCTGTCTGAGCTGGTGCACACGGGGTCCTCAGCAGCCAGTGCAATGCTGCTCGCCACGATCACAAGGAGGATAGTCATCTCAAAGTAGCGCAGAGTGACGACATAGTGGCAGATCCTTCTGATACTGTGGATCAGTGGAGGGGAGGATATTAATTGTCGCTTGATGAATGAGCACAAACAAAAAGGCACTAAAAAGAGCAAAAAGCACTGCAGTGTGTTTGAGAATCTGTGATTTGGTGGCTTACGGGTTGGAGGCCTTGAAGATGAACATGCTGTCTGGAGCTACAGGTTTGGGAGGAATCGGAGGTTCCTCCTCCTCCGTGTCCTCGTCTCCCTCTCTCAGCTCGGACTGGTACGCCTCCAACTCTTTACTGTTCACTAAAACCCAAACAGAAGTGCAAAAGGGGAGGAAAAAAAAGCAGTTTTAGTTGTACTGCTATGACTGCTATGACAGAGAATAATGTGAGTCACCAGCACAATGGATTCATCAAAAAAAGACAAGGGCAAGTGTGGCACTCGGGTGTCAAAAACACCTACACACTGGGATACAGAGCGATACTGACACTAAATCCCAATTGATGATCCGCAATAAAGGAGTGTGACTGCAGTGTGAAGTTATCACAGAGTTACCTGTCATGGGTGTGAGCTCCAGCAGCGGTTGTGCAGACATTTCAATGGCCACGCTTCCCTCCAGGTTGGACTTGTCACGTTTGATGGCGACCGGGCAGTTCTCGGCTTCCATGGCGCTCACAGTGTACTCTGTGGCCTCCAAAGCGGGCTCCACTGGGATATTTTGGTCTGTGTGCCCGCCTTCACCTTGCTCTGACCAGGTACCGTCAAGCAGCTGCTCACATTGCGGCGGATCAGGAATGTCGGCTCTGAAATGGGAAAGAACATATCACTGAACACTGAACTTATGTGTTATGACATCAACATTTTTCCTGTACAAAGTGCTGTAGAAAAGATCCACTATACTGTGTTGAACTGAATTGTAATAACACCGGTGAATGCCTGCCTTTTTTTAGCGCCATCGTAAGATCAAAATTTCAGAATGCACTTTGGATTATGACCAAGTACCTGCAAAACTAATTACATTCCCATCAGCCTCAGCTGTACTTTAGGTTTAGTGCTAATTAGCAAAATACATAGGAGCAGACTGAAAGAGACACAAAACTGTTGGTCTGTTTGGTCGTTTTGTGTCTCTTTGTGGTTGTTATGCATCTGTTCATGGTGGTTTTGCGCCTCTTTATGCTTGTTTTGCATCTCTCTGTAGTCATTTTGCATCTCATTGTGGCTGTGTCTAGCACGCCTGTAGATGCCTAGTCTTTTTTTTGTTTTAAAAGGATAGTTTCACACAGTCTGTTTTAAAACAATATTCACATGCCCATGTCTACATGTCAAGATTTTATCGGTTGCTGTAGTTGCTTCTCTTGTCCATACCGGTCCTCATTCTGTGCAAGTGTGCACAAGCTAATACAAGCCTTAAACAGTCTGAGCTAGACCAAACAAAAGGATATCTTTCAAATTCTTTCTTTTTAGTACAAAAATTCCTCCTTGTGCTACATTCACTTTATTAGGTACACCTGTACAATCTGTTGAAATTCAAGATGACAGTTTAGCTACAAATTACTATATTTACAAAGTTTTTATGTTTGGTTTTTGTTGAAATTGTCAGAAATGTGTAAATTCAATTATTACTATTATTATTACTAATGTTATACAGTGGGAATGTGGATTTTGCCCCTTAAGGACATGTTTGGAAAGGATCTCTTCACAGCCAGTTTGGAGAGCATGTGTGGAGGACATGTGAGTATTGTTTGAGATGGAAGAAATGTGAACCAACAAAAATAGAGAGAGATTACAAGGTGTTAAGTGTCTCTCTCTCTCCCTCTCTCACGGGGAAAAGGTCCAGTATACATTTCAGATCAAATTGAGTTTTATTTGATACTTATACGATGATACAAATAGTTCATGAGTGTTACACCGTTTAAAGGCTCTTCACAGATAAATACACGAGCCTTACCTTCTACAGTCTTCTCCGACTTCTGCATATGGGTTGACGATACAGGTTCCACAGTCATCTTGGACTGATCCTCCTTCTACCTCTCCTTTCTCCTCTCTTTCATCCTTCTCTTCCCTCTCATCCAGTATCTTCCTCTCCTGGCTCAGTGACCGTCTCACTATTGGCACCTCATGTGGTGCCTGGGCACAGTCCAGACTCTTGGCCTCAGTGCGAGCATCGCGGTGCCGGTGACGTCTGTGCCGGGCCCCTTCGTCCGGCCCCTGAGTAGGCCTGAACTTGCGGGCAATCCTGTGCCTGCCCCCACCTGTAGTCCGGTGGTTAGCTCCTCCTGTTTTATCCTCAACCAGGTTTACCAGAGGCTCGGCCGCCGGAGGCTCAGGGATGGGGATAGAGACGGACATCGGGGGCTCGGGGAGGGGCATCCCAACAGACATGGGAGACTCGGGCAGGTGAGCCGGACTGGCCTCTGGGGAAAGGGTGGAGGTGTGGTGGGCGATAGTGGGAGTTTCCACGGTGTCCTCCGTAGGGCTGCTAAACAGCTCCTCTCTGCTCGCCATCTGGCGACGTTTGCGTAGCTGGTTGGCTCTCTGCTCCCACACTGACATGTTGACTTTTCTCCTCCTCTCGCGGCGGTTGGTGAAGGCGTTGGAGCCATTGAGAGGCTGCTCGTCTGCGGCAGCTGTTGCACCCTCTGGGTCCTCTGGGAAGTTTGGACGACCTCGGTGGATCGCACGTTTCCTGTATAGGTAGGGTCTTCTTCTCCCACTAAGGAGCACAACATACTACACATCACTATGACGCAGCAACAGGCCCAGAGCTCAGGAATTGTTGACAAGAAACATCAAGACTAGAGTTCATTTAGCATACCAGGTATATAAAAGAATATTCAAACAAATTAAATAAAAGCTGCAAGAAAAGGCCAAATCTTTTCTGTGAATTTATAATGTTACTTGCTTAGTAACACAAAAAAAATTCCCATGGAAAAATGAGCAAAATGCTTCAAGCTGAAAAGTACAAATACATCCAAAAACTCAAAAAATTAAAATACCTGAGAGGTAAGGACAGATTATAAAGGAAAAGAGAAAAACAAAACCCACAAGGACAAAAAAGGGAAGGTGCAGGATTAAAGTAGAAACAGTGTAAAATCTAGAAAATAATCGGAATAATTGAGTAGGAAAACTCAAGAGACAAATCTGCGTGACAGGGATGCATACATTCATACTTACTGGTATTCAGATTCTTTTGTTGTCCATGTAATCAATGAGTGATTATTTGAAAACAAGACATTAGTGTTTAACAACATACACTGAACATTTGTTGTGACACAGAACAAAATGTATAGAAAGGAGGCAAAATACAGATTTCAAATTGTCTGAAATCAGTACTTTATCTTGTAGAAATGTGATTTAAGGAGCACTCAATTTCATGGCCATAAAATAATAGATATTTCTTGTTTGTTGTTACGCAGTGTCCTTGAACACAACATTTTGGTCAGTGCCACATAACAGGCATAAAACAAGACAACATGATGGGACCAGCAAAACACTGTAATGCACATTAATATCAGCATCTTGATAGCTGCAAGACATACAAGACTAACATTCAAATATGTAACAGACAAATGATACATTCAGTGTCACAACTAAAGAGTCAAAGTACAGAGTAAACAGTCTACACAGTTACCTGTTTGACTGTACTGTAAACAGCATCTATGAGATGTTAGGGAGTTTGAAGGACCCAATATCAGGGATTTTTCCAATCATTATATCACTGGTAACAACATCATAAGTTTTTGCTTTGATTTCCTCCCTGCAGGCGGCTAATGGATCGCTTTGATTATTGCATAAAAATCAACTTGCAGAGACTTAAAACGGCTTGAAAGAGGAAATTCATCACAGTCATCTGTCTTGTGGAAATGATTTTATCACTTGATAAGAAGAAATTGCTTTAAAAAACACTTTCTTGTTGGTTTATTCAGGTGTTCATGAATAAACCTCAAATATCCAAAACTTGAGCATTTGGTGCAAAAAACATAATGTCTTTAACTTATGATCTGTTTAATTATTACATTATAATTATCACAGTAGTTATAGTTTGTCTTACAACTTTGATTTTCCAACTATTTAGCCTGTGAATGCACCAACAATATGGAGGTGACAGTAGGAAAACAGTGCTGGGAGAGCGAGGGGGTGTCACATGTGGCAAATGTCCCCAGTGTGATATGCGTTTTAACCACTGCTCCAAGGCCTTTTGTAAACAATCACTGCAGTCAAGTTTAACATAACTTTGTCAAGCTTATAAGCTTATAAAAGGACAAATGTGATGAATTACAAGCAAGTTTCTGCAAGTTGTTTTTCATATAAATAAAGGGCCACCTGGGGAGCAGCAACAACACATTCACTGATCTCACTCAGTTTATAATTAAAGGTGCAAAACATGCAAACTGATGAGTACATTCCTTTAACAGGCCAGGTCAGTCACTCTGGGTCAGTAATATGTCATGTGGTGCTTTTTCCCCACTCCAAAAGCTCCAGTGGTGATGCTAATCAGACGAGTCATACTAAGTAGTATACAAAAATCTGACACACTCCAAAGTGTGCCTCCTCCCAGCAGAGTGACACAGTGAGACTCCCCACTGTTCCCAATAACCTCTGAAAAACGCCTCCTGCCATCCTCCTCCTCCCGACTTACTGGATCATTAGACCTGCGGGAAGGCCACCAGGTCACTGAGAGGAGCAGGAAATTCATTAACAACCAATCACAGGCCAAGACAGTTACAGGAGGCGTCTCAGTAAAGCTGCTGAAGCAATCTGTAAGGGGTCATGCTTTTCAATCAAGCACATTCAATCCACATTCATTATTGTGTCATCAGTGCCTTACACATGCCTTTCTTTGTTTCTTCGCATTCACCATGCAGCTGAAGGAACTGAGGAACATACTGTTTTAAACATTTGCCTGTTACACCAACAACTGGTTCTAAGAGAGTCCATAATCAATTGTTCTTATTGGCTAAGCTCTATATTGATTTCATAGAACATCTCTCCAATAACAGAAGTAGCACCACCGCCAGTTTTCTCACAGCATCCACATCTTAAGTAAATCTTAGTTTGATTACATTGGATGCATCTGCCACAAAAAAAAAAAAAAAAAAAAAAAAAAAAGAATCGTACAATTTTTTCAGTCCAATTCAAATTTTCCGTTTGGTCAAGAGGAGAGCTGATCTGACTCACACCTCCACACTTGAACATGAAGATTTACTTAAGGGCTGTGAACACTCTGAGTGTCTCATTTTAAAATGATGGTTCTGTAAACCAATAACTTACTCAGAGATCAAGCCATCCCTGCCTCTGGCATATCTCTGGTTGAAGAACTCCTCTTCCTCTTCTTCATCCTGAGAAAGAGAATATATATATAAAGAATATATAATGTTAAAAGGAAATCCACTAATTTTACACATGAAGTTCAGTTTACTTGACATGAATAGTACTGTAGGCTTCTGTGGATCTTTTTTTGAAGTCTAATAAAATGATGATGGTGATAATTTGACTTGAGAAAAACTGGGAGTGTTGAGTTTGAAGGATGTGAGCCTTTATCAGAAAGGTAGGGCCAATGAAAAATTCTATCAAGTTGCACTGTGGGATATGTAGTGTGGTAGTATGACTTGTGATAGGGGTTTAAGTCAGGATAATTCCTCTGCCTCTTCTTCAATTTTGACAGTTTTTAAAGAAAATCAGATTTTCACAAGCCCCACAACTTTGTGGAGCATGTTCACATTTTAAAGAATACTATGAGGTACCCTGTGGAGTTTCTGAGTAGGACTATGGAGCAATGTTTTTACAACTGGGTCTCTGTCTTGCTCGTCAGGTGGTGGTAAAGCACCAAGACCTTTTGTTAGACCTTAAGAATACAAAAAGTGTGTTTTGGTGAGTAATACTGAATGTAGACAGAAACGTTGCCCATAAGAAAACTCCACATAGCGCCCTTCACTCCAGAACACACAACACACTTTAATGGCTACATACACTACAAGAAAATCAATTATTTTACCCGTAAACTCCCGCATATAAGAAAATAAAAAAAAGTGCAAACCTTTGTCAGTTCCTGTGCATTTGCCAGATTATCTACAGCGATGGCCAAGAAGACATTCAGCAGCGTGTCTGTCATGAAGGCAGTTAAGAACACACACAAACCACACCGTGGGAACACATCTAGATTTTACTCCTGTATCCCTTACATGACAGCATATTGATATACTGTACATAGACATTGTGGAAATTTTGAGAAGAAATAGCCATTAAGAGGCTTACAGATGCAAGCAAAGTATTTAACAAGTTGCACTTATTACATCTGAGGGAATGCGTGACTCAGGGACTGTGTCACATAAATGTTAGTATGCATGTATAGTACCATGATTAACTCTTCATGTATGTAGTGCTTTGTTTAATGTTTTGCACCTTGGTCCCAAACAAATGTCTATGCTGATGTTTTTGTCTTCTATCCAAAGCAATACAGATAAAGTTTAAACACAGCATTCGAGTAAGTGAATCGCTTTTAGAAAATGCAACACAAGAAGATTGAGACTAGAGTAAAACCTTATGTCATTCATTTCAGTGGAAGATCAATGAATATTTGACTAGGGTTAATTGCATTTTTATGTAAATAAACGTATGTTGCACTGTGTAATGTAGAGACAGATTTATACAGGTATATTGTGTACAGGTGTAGATGCCATATCAGAGCTCTCTGACCACTTTTGAGGACTCAACAAGGATACAGTTTCCAAATAGTGTGAGCACAATGAAGTAGATGGATGACCACATGCCATACTGCACGCCTCCCTGTGAGCGAATCCCATTGTACATCACCTCGTTCCAGTCCTCGCCAGTCAGAATCTGTAGGAAAATGCACAGAATATTAAGCATAAATAATTACATTGCTCAAATTGGATCCAAAAGAACACTGGTTTAAAAATACACCAAACCAGAGAACTATTCCCCATCTACAAAGCAGTTAAAGATATGTTATTAAAAATGGCAGCAAGATAAGTAATTACTGTGTGTGCTGATCAAAACACTCTTTCACAGTGCAGTTGGTTTTGTAGCAGATCTGATGTGGATTCGTTCACGTTTCACTTGTCTGATATTCATGTGCGCATATGTGTGCATGGATGTGTGGGATGATAGCGGAGGCAGGGGGTGGAGAGCGAGTGAGCAGAGTTGTTTAATCTGCGCCTGGGGTGAGAAATATCCCAGGGTGCAATGTGTCATGGAGAGCAGGCAGAATGAGGGGATCTGTGGGAGCCAAACCTGAAACACTGTCATGATGGCAGCTGGAAACGTGTCAAAGTTTGTGGGAGTGTAATCTTCAAAGATGAACCTAGAGGGGAGGCAGATAGAAAGCGGGGTCAGATATGACCAAGGAAGAAAAGGAGGAAGAAGGAGAGGAGGAGGAGGATGCAGAGCTATTTTCATCCGGACATGTCATTTCCTCTCCGTCTTATCAAAGGAGCCATTGAAGAAACTGCTGCTCAGTTTGCAGGGTGTAGATACCGTTTCAAAACTGTGGCATGATCAGTTGTAGGTTAAAATATAGTATGCAAATCAGCTGTACAAATCAGGAACATAACTCTCCTTGACCTCGGCTCAGCCTTTGATACAGTGGATCATGATGTCTTAATCAGCCATCTGAAGAACTATGTTGACATCGGTGACTCTGAATTGGCTGATCTCTTATCTGTTGAACAGGTCCTTCTCTACTTTGTGGGGTCCCTCAAGGGTCTATTTTGGGTCCACTATTAATTACCATATACATGCTACCCCTGAGGCAAATCTTGCATAGCCATGACATTGCTTTCCATTGCTAAGCGGTTGACACCCAATTATATGTCCCAGTAAAGCCTGGTACCACGGATGCATCGTGTATTATGTCCTGCTTCGCTGAAATAAAAAATTGGATGTCCAAAAACTTCCTGCAGCTGACTGACTCCAAATCAGAGGTAATTATAATCACTCCCTGTGGCCCCAGCACTCGCAGCATTAAAAATCTCTCTTCTAGTCTGGGTGACTTACCCAACAACGTTCAAAGAGAGGACCACGACCTAGGTGTTATTTTTGGTTGAGAATTGTCCTTTGATGCTCAAGTGGCTAAAGTGGTGCAGTTTTGCCCAACTGAGACGGCTAAGCCAGATCTGGTCATTTCTTTCCTCTACTGACTTGGAAAAGGTCAGACATGCTTTTATCTCTTCCAGACTCAACTATAGCAATGCACTTTATTCTGGTACCAGCAGTCGAAACATCCAAAGACTGTAGTTGATACAAAACGCTGCTGCCAGGGCTGTTTACATGCAAGAGAAACAACTGCATGACACAAATCCTTGCTGCCCTTCACTGGCTTCCTGTGAGCTTTAGAATCGATCTTAAGATTTTACTGCTTCTTTTTAAAGACTTGAATGGTCTGGGTCCTGCCTACATCTGCGATCTGCTAAGTCTCTATGAGCCTCATCGCTGCTTGAGATGCTCTGGCAATGATCTATTAATCGTTCCTAAATCCAAAGGTGTTTCTGCTGTCTGGGCCCCTCAGCTGTAGAACTCCCTGCCAGGAGATCTTAGGCAGGTAAACTCAGTGTCCTCCTTTAAATCTCTTCTTAAAACTCACTTTTTCTTAAATGATGGTATCTGTTGTAAATATCTAAATAATTTTATTTTTTCTACATCTCTAGTTCTGATTATTTAGTTTTTATTGTAAATTGTATTATAAAGCACTTTTATTACTTAGTTTTTGAAAGGTGTTATTTTAACAAAATGTATTGTTCTTGTTTTTTGTTTTTGTTGTTGTTATAACAGAGGTTTGCCCTCATTTTGACATTCTGAAGGCTTTACTTACCTTCCTCCGAAAAGCTGCATCCCCAGCAGAGCAAACACCACGATGAAGAGGAAGAGAAGAAACAGCAGGCTGATGATGGACTTCATGGAGCTCATGAGGGACACAACCAGGTTCCTGAGAGAGGCCCAGTACCTGACAGAAAGAAATCACACATGCTTTTTGTGTCTTTTTCACCAGAGATTTGTAAAAACATACATACTAATATAGTTCAACTCAGGCAAGTTTTAAAGTCATTATTTTTGGGGCATTTTTGCCTTTATTCTAATAGTGCAGTGAGAGATAGACAGGAAAGTCAGGGAGAGAGAGAGGGGATGACATGCAGCAGAGGTCCGTGGGTTGGATTCAAACCCATGGCTGCTGTGGTTAAGACTAAGCCTATGTGGTACGTGCGCTACCTTGTGAGCCACTGAGGCGCCACCAACTCAGGCCTACTTTATTTGAAATCTTGTTGTCTCACTTACTTGGTGATCTTAAAAATTCTCAGAAGCCTCAGCGCCCTCAGTACGCTGATCCCAAATGACATGCCAGGCCTGAAGAAGCCCCAAACCACCTCAAAGATGCTGCCGACAATGACCTGCAAGACAAGTCAGACACATGCAATAAAAAAATAATGTTACACCTAAAATTCAAGCATCTAAGAGGTTTTACAAAATCTGGCAACCTTTCGGAATAAGAGAGGAAGGACCTCACCCCACAGTCGAAGCAGTTGAAAGATGAATGGAAATAGAGCCGGAAACCCAGACCATACATTTTCAAAAACATCTCAGCCAAAAACAGCCCCAGGAAAACAAACTCTGCATAGTCTGGAGATGATAAAACAAAAAAGCAATTAAGTCAAAGGCAGCGATGCGCCAAAAAAACAAACAATGCATTTATCAGACATGACCTGAATGTTTTTTTTTAGTAGTAGTAGTAAACCACAGAAGAAGGAAAAAAAAAAAAAAAAAACAGCACAACCATTCAAAAGGGAAACCCACAGAGGAAGATGGTCAGCCAGTCGGGCTGGTTGTGGTGGACGATGGCCACACAGACAGTGTTCAGAGCCACCAGACTGAGAACCATCAGGTAGAAAGTGTCTGTCTTCACCATGCGGCGGATGGAGATGCGTAACATGCGCTCTTTACGGCGCAGGTAGGCGGCAGGGCCACGGCGCCCACTGCGGAAGTTCATCCTCGATCGCGACATGCCTGAAAAGATAAAAGAGAGAGAGAGAGAGAGAGAGAGAGAGAGAGAGAGAGACAAGTTCAAACATAGGGACAGCAGGAGGTTAAGGAGATGGTAAACCCAGTGTGAAATATACAGTATGTAAAGTCAGTTGTTCTTCACTCACTGGCAGTAGACATGTCTGTGTACTTCTCGTCCCCTGGTGCTCCTCTCCGTGCTCCGGTCTTCTTACTCGCTCTCTTTAGCACTAAAAATGATCAAGGTCACCAACTCTGTGAATTACTAAATTTTGATAAATTAGAAATGGAAATGAAAACAACAAATAAACTGATAACTGCTGCCTTAGAGGACTTAAAACTGTCACTGACAGTTATTTGGCCAAGCCACTGGCAACAGTATTTAGTGTTCATAAGCAGTATATAATAATAATAATGTAATTATTTAATAAATGATTTAATAGCACACTATAATGACATTGTAATCTTCATAGATTATACAAATACTGAACATTTATAAACACTTAAAATGCCCTTATAACAACCTTTTCATGTGTTATAAACCATTTATAGGGGAACTATATTCAGTTTATTCACATTGTGTATCACAATCCAATGATTACAAGACACTGGTATAAATCAGACAAAAATAAATTAACCAGACAGGTTAAGATAACACATACAAGAAGTCTAAAGAAAAACATTTGTTCATCACATTATATACACATCTATTTAATATCAGGTGAATATAATTGTGCACCAAGTAGCAGGAGAAAGAAAAGAAACTCTGCAACTCTGAAGAACATTTGTCCTCATCTCCCAGGCTCTGTTCAAGTAACTGGCTAACTTGTACATATATACACATGCAGTATGTACAACATCAAAGTGTGTGCAATGTAGTTGTGCATGTGGGAGTGTCACTGTCAAACACTAACAGTAAACACTCACAGGTTATATACAGAATCTCCATTTTTGTCTATCCTGTGCTTGAAATGTTGACTAGAACTGGTGCATATTTAAAATGTCGGCACCAGTCAAACACAAGTATTTTCTGTTTTATAACCTCTAAAAGTTATTTTAGATACAGTTATAAATAGGTGTATTAGATACAGGTGTTAGGTGTAGGTGTGATTACAAATCTAAAGTGTGTGCACTCACCATCTAACGGCGATCTCCCTGAATTTTTATTCTCCTCAGCGAGCATTACCTCCTCTGTAATGCAATAAAACTGGAGGTTATACACATACTTATTTCATCAAAGCACAACTTAAATCATCAGACATTGAAATATACAGGGCTGAATTATTTAGGATGTCTGCAAACAGTTACAGGAACTGAGGTCAATGTGATGTAAACGTTGCTTTGAGAGGCCAGAATGACCTTCTTCAGAGAAAGAGCTCTCATTCTCTCTTACACTCTTGTAATCGTTCTCTCTCTCTCTCTCTCTCTCTCCCTTCCCACACTTGCAAACATACATGCACGCATAAATATGCACAGCAGCTCTCTGTCACACACGCGCACACACACACACACACACACACATGCATGTAAACACACAAACACACAGAAATGCCCGTGTGCAGATATACATGCACACAAATTTAAGTCAGTGAGTCAGTATCACCTTTTTCTCACCCTCTACTTGCGTGGGAGACTAGCGATGTAGATTGCCATTACAGCACTGTGTGCGTGTGTGTGCGCGTGTGTGTGTGTGCAACCTAACTGAGATACTGTACTGTAGATCCAAATCTCTAACAAAGTCTGTAGCAGAGCAAAAAAAAAAAAGACTAAACCAGCTGGTATATCTTTGTATGCTCATTCAGTACCTGTGCATCTTTATATTTGATGAATAGATACATTATGAGAGTGGTATCGATCTTCTCATCTAACTTTCTTTTGTACTTTCCTTTTTTTTTTTTTACATATACAGTGGGGTCCAAAACAAGGCTGAGACCACTTACCCAGAATGGGATTAGAGCAACTCTAAGCTCACACATTCACTCAGCAGTCATGTTGCGTCCATGAAGAGCTGCATTTCTGATCCAAATATCATTGACCAAGACTAAATCCTGCCTGCTCACTCACTCACTGCATGTCTCTATATAGCTGATTACCTTCATGTTGCTAAATAACAAGAAAAACGTCGACTGATATGAAGTTATTCTGCTGCCCAGTACCTGCCCTGTCTATCCAGGCTCGGTAGCCGTTCAGTTCTCTTTCCACCTGCTGCTGGCGGCGCAGCTTCATGAAGGCGCGCCGGTTCTCCACCCTCTCCCTCTCCTTGGCAAATTCTCTAAAGACAGAGGCATGAAAATAGCTCTCATAATCCATAGTACAGACAGAAATACCAGTATTATAAGCATAGGAAGAGTCTCACTCACCCAGACAACACTCCCAACACCAGGTTCAGAACAAAGAACGACCCAATGATGATGAGAGGAATGAAGTACATCCAGTTCCATGTGGTACCCAAGGCGTCGTTGGTCTGAAATCCACAAACATTCATTCATTCATTCATAATAGTGATCAATTTTATGTTTCATTTGTTGACTGAACACTGGAGCTCACATTATAAAGAACGGCCGTCCATCCCTCCATGGTAATACACTGGAAGACGGTGAGCACAGCAAACAGGATGTTGTCGAACTGCGTGATGCCGTCATTGGGCCCGATCCAGGTGTCGTTGCAGTCGTACTTCTCTGGACACTTCCTCACTCCACATGCAAACGCCAACTCGGACGAGTCAACAGTCTCATTGTCTACAAAAAAGAAGCTGTAGTAATTTTTTGGTCTGTTGTTGATGATAATGATGTACGGGCAGGGTTTCATAGTCATCTGCTGAAGGGGCTTAAGTTTCTCCAACTCACCTTAAATCTAAATTTAAGAAAAATGACATAAGAGCATGATTTGTTCCATAACTAGTTGGTAAACCAAACGTGGTCCAGTTCAACTTTTGGAACAAATAATATATGCATATTCAGAGATTGTGATGTTTTCAATCTGAACAAAGTAGTAAAAAAGCGTTTTTGTGAAGAGACGATAGCAGATGTGTCTGGAGGGGAATTTTAAACTTTGAATTTTGGGGGACCATTAGAGGATTCAGGGATGGATGAAATCATTCTTCCTGCTTGAAATGCTGTCAACCTATTCAGGTTTTATATCTCAGTACATCTTTCAGTTGTGCTGGGCGATGACAGTAAATGCTATTGTGTGGCGTGTGATTACAGAGTAGCTGTTGACTAATTAAGCAGTAGCTAAATCAGCCGGCAACAGCTTTAATAATACCTCTGAGCTCGCTGCTGCCGTAAGCTATGAAAGCCTCAGTTTCTCAGACAAAGATGTTAACACCCTCTGTCTGAGAACAATGCATAAGCCACACATGTGGTATACCTGTTGGCAAATCAGTCATAGTCAATCACACCTAATCCAAAAACAAAGCGTGACAATAATATTCCCCTAAAGCCATCAGTGATAAAAGCAGGTGGATCTGAGGACAGACGGTGCCCACAAATGGCAAAGTGGTTACGCCGAATGATAATGGATGGATAGATAACAGTGTCGCAACGTTTGTCTCCCTTCAAACTTGAGTGAGAATGACTTCTTCTTTTATTAGTCCAGTTTATTAGGGCAGGTTTTAAGACATGTATTACTTTCACATTCTTTTAACAAGTAATATAGAATAACAAGAATACATGGTAAATGGGCAACCCTCTCTGCCTCAGAACAGAAAGAGACTGTTAGGGCGTGCGTGGATCGTACCGAGGATGTCGAAAGATGCCAGGCAGGTGTGGTGAAGCTTCCCGCTGTAGAACTCCAGACCGATGATGGCAAACATGAGGATGGCGAAGAACAACAAAAGGCCGATCTGAAGCAGCGGGATCATGGCCTTCATGATAGACTTCAGCACAATCTGCAGGCCTGAAAGAATTCACAAAGAGGGGGAAATCCCACTACAGAGTTAGCTCCGAATAACGTAAGAATAACATCAACAACAGTCAAAGGCCACAAGTGTGTTTGTCAATATATTTAGTCACTTATGGCAGACAAGCAGCTTCTGAATATGGCAAATACATCGGTAGGTTTCAAAAGGTTTCCTGGGGGAAAAACAATATTAATGCTCAAATTGTCGGCTTCAAGTTCAAAGGGCCTAAAAATATGTGACACAAAAGAGCAAGCGATGATGATGCAGGTGGTTAACTGTGTATAGTCTTGGGCATTTTTGCGTAAGAGCACAAGTTTTTGCATTTGTTTTGTATTTGTGTTTTAACAATGGCATAGCATTACTGACTCACACCATCTGAAACGAAAGCATTTGTGATGAGGATAACATCTGATAATAAGAGGATGAATGACGACTTGTTATGTGCAATAATACACCAGTTTGACCTTGACAGTGCAGTATTAAAAAGGTCAGTAACCGACTCACTGGGGATCCCCGAGACGAGTTTGAGAGGTCTCAGCACTCGCACAGCCCTGAGGGTTCGAAGGTCGACTGGGATGTTCATGTGGGCACCAGCAGTGGCCAAGATCCTGATGGACAATACAAACAAACACAGAATATGGATATATAGTATAATGGATTCAGAGATATTTTTGATGGAAGGAATGTTAGACAGTTATTATTTGTCTAGTATTGTTTCTTAAGGCAGACACATTAACAGCTATTACTTGTGATGGCCTGAAAAAGAAGAAGACCTTTGGGTTAAAATGGAGAAAATGCAACAGGGACAAATGAAAAAGGGGAAAAACATCCATTAGTAGCTAAATCTGGTGCGAGGCCTCGCTTTCCTATCTTGAGATTAATGTTTTTTGTTCACGGTGTGTGACAAATTTGACTACAAAAATAGGTAAAAGGCAACTGGATGTAACTCAAGGACAGTTTAGTCATTCATTTTAAAGGAAAAAGGCAACAGTGCAGCCAGTGAGCTACAGTATATATACAGTCTGTTTAGTACACCAGACTTGTATGGTGAGAGACTAAGAATGCACACCACATACACCTGGCAGGCATCTCTACGCACATCTTCCCACGCACACATTGATGTCCCACCACCTACACACAAACACTGAAAAACAGCGTCGGGAGCAACCGACAGGCAAATCTCTTACCAACGTTCACCAGAAATCACATTTGAATGTCTCTTGTAGAAATGAGAGAAGCAGGTTTTATTTCGTTTTCGACTGAGGAAAGATAATGTTACAACAAATAATTCAAGTGCTGCCATAAAAACGGAACATTTTCCATTTAGGCTAGATTTTTCATCTCAATTCAATAATAGCCGAGTCAATTTGGTGGCCCATAAACACAAATGCGTTCACTGATGAGAGGATCAATACCCACTGCTAAGTTGCTATGTAATATTTTAAATGAGCTGTGAAAATGATCCTAGAAATCATAATTATTTTTCACATTTGTCCATCTCTCTCTCTCTCTCTCTCTCACACACACACACACACACACACACACACACACACACACACACACACACACACAGATACAAATATACAAACTCATAAAATCTTTGGACAGTGTTGGGAAGTGTGGGGGAGGGTATATGTGAGTGTGTGTGTATGTGTGTGCATGCATGCGTGTGTGTGTGTGTGAGCAGGGGGTAGAAAGCACATGGCAGAAACTCAAGTGTAAGCCCACGCAGAATCTCTCCTGAAAGCAGTGGGAGGGAGAGAGGCCGAGTGAGCAAGTGAATGAGTGAGGCCATGTTACCGCTAATGCAGATAAACCTGAAAAAAAAAAAAAAAAAAACAAGTGGTAAAAGCTCACAGCCCAAAACACCATGGTCTGAAACTGTTCCTAAAAGTTTACCAACAATACTGAATGCTCCAATATGTGCAGGACAACTGAGTGAGCATCTTTTCGCTGCTGTTACAGTAAATCTAAAAACTGGATCAGATTACATGACTTTACACACTTTCATGATTGAAATGTGTCCACAATGAAAAGGGAGCTAACATTTTCAAATTTGAGCTGGTTTGGTCCCTGCTGGTTTTCCATCTTACTTTCATACTTTGACCAGTATGATAATGAAACAGGTTATTAGACTGCAGTTTGTGTGGTGTTAAAAAGGACTTAAAAAGGCTCCAGCACATAATTATAGGTGTATTTACAAGCCCACCAATAATTACGTCACCAAGAATTACTGCCTTGCCTCCGCCAACCAGTAAAATTTCACGAAATATGGTCACAATCTCCCCTTCCTGAGTTAGTGTTGAATTATTGCCAGAGGTGTTTTTGCATAACATTATGATGTCACAGTGAGGATGACCATTGACTGTTTAGATATAAAATGTCATCACTTCATACATCCTATTAGACAATTGTGTCATAATTAGCATATTAGTTATGGCTAAAAACATATTTTGTGAGGTGACTTTGAATCAATTCATCCATCCAACTTAACATTTGCACCAAATTTTATTAAATTCCCTCAAGGCATTCCTGAGATATTGCATTCACAAGAATGCGATGGGCGGGCGTACAGATGGACGTACAGACGGACAACCCAAAAACACAATGCCTCCGGCCATGGTTGTCGCCGGTGCTGAGGCATTTAAAAAAAACATCAGAGAGAATCAGAGTCAGGTTGAAAATGGAGAAAAATGTAACAAATTTACATACCTACTTTACATTACATGACAGTGTTTCAAATTACTGTGGCATTTACTATATACACCTCAGTCTAGGTTTATTCCTGTGCTTTGATTCTGTGCATGTGTGAAGAGCGTTGTTCCTACACACAATCAGCAGCACAGCCAGCAGTGGCAGAATATTAAATCAAATGTGGCACTTATGACGATACCAACCAATCACCGTTACCAAGTGTGGTTAGTAGCAATAAACGGGTTTTCGTTTGAGTGACTGAGTGAGTGAGTGAGTGAGTGTCAGACAAAGAGATGACACAGCGAGAGACACCGAGACGGAGCAGGAGCACAGGAGTGGGAGTCTGTGGAAATAGCCTTCAAACCAAACACACTGAACAAAGGCAGGCAACAGCACAGCTCCTTCAAGGCTGCACTTTGTGCACAACAATTCAGTGGAGGCTCCCTCAAAATTAAAGCAAATATTGTGTCTGCTTTTGCTAGCTTATGAATCATCCCCTCACACACACAGAGGTCATTCTCTTTTTGTTCTTTCTGTTTTTCCTGCAGAAAATTCACTGAAACAATCAGTACCCATGCAAACCAGCATGTTTTCAGTCTTTTTACAGTCTACCTCAAACGCTGTATGCACCAATTTGCACCTATTAGGCAAGTTTATAGACAATCAATAGGCTGACAAATCTACTGAGACTTTTTGGCATGAAGTCCTCCTATGAGCATGTATGACAGCAGCTCTCCCTCTCTTTATAGAGGACACATCATGTGATCACCAATCAGCTGAAAATATTTGCACCTGTACACCTTAGGTCCCACACAAATACAAGTCTAAAAGGTGATGAGGATGATTACTTTTCACATATAAAACAGTGTCACGATCTCTGTTTTTTCGATAGTCTGAATAGTGTTGTCTTCATCTTTTAAGATTTCAAAATAAAAAAAAGATTATTCTGTTTGGGTTGTTTTCTACTGTCAATTTAAGAAAAAAGTTAGCTAAATAATTGACAAACTTGACCAATTCATCTTCACAGCCTGTATTACAAACAAATATGTCATCAATCTTTTCCATAGTTTGACTTTGGATAGGAAAAGATTTTGGTCATTGTTATAGATTACATATAGTCCTTTTGGTACAAGATTGAGTGGAATGAACAAGACCAGCCCTCAACTGGTTTAAATCATATTTACAGATCTTCTACAGAACATTTTTGTTGCTATTGTAGAAGCCAGGCCAAGACTTCATATGGGGTTCCACAGGGTTCAAATCTAGTTTTATTTAATCTCTCTGAACAAGGAATCTCGGCATAACACATTCTGACCTAAACTTTTGATGATCTTAAAATATAACAAGAGTAAGAGAAAATTTACAACAAAGTTATAAAGTGTTTACTGAATGGAAATTTATACTTGACAAAATTAAATCAATTGACAGCACATAAACTAGTTCTTATCATTCCCACAACACACCCGTTTTTCCTGGGAGTTTCCCGTATTCCAAGGTAATCTCCCTTCACCCTCCTGCTTTTTTGTTTCTCTCTCGTAATTTGCATGGTCCTCAACTATAAATAATCATCATATACGGATCCATATGTTTTGCATGTTTGTCTGACGTTATCCAAGTTGCCAGATTGTGTATGAAACATAAGCTCAACACACAATCCACACAAATACAATTTCAATCCATCTGTTACAACAACCTGGCAACCCACAACCCGATTCAAGTGGTGTGCGCAGCTTAACAAAACTTGTTAATTTTATATTAATGTAATGTTTATCTAATTATAAATTTAATTAATTGACATGTGATGCAATTTAAATTAAAAATTTAAATGAATGTTATGTGTTTATTATGCATGTATGTTAGGTATATAAATTATTTATTCACTTTAAACCCCCACCGTGAAAAATTTTAAATTGTACCCCAACCAGTGAAGGCCATTATAATCTATCATTAGTAACTCTTATTTCGTTTATACATCATTTCCATTTTTAAATCAAGATCGTCTCTAAATCTGTATAGGTAACCTACATGTTCATATTTTGTTTTATTCAATCTTTTGAAATTTATTTTGAGTTCCTTTTAAAATTTAAAAAATTTTAGTTAACTGCCTTGTTTAAGTCATTCTAAGTCACTATATTGTCCTTGTTTATCCTGAATTATGCCAGCACCCTGTTTCAAAGGAGTGAAACTTCCCTTTAATAAAGAATTCATAATGACATGTAGGAAAATGTAACATCTTGTAGTAAAAATACTGATATCATCACATTAGCAGAGCTATAAGTAAAGTAACAAGACAATAAAACACATGGGATAGCTGCACACACGTCACTCTTCTGATTCAACTCTGCAACAATCCAGCCACCAGTTAATGTTCATAGTGAGAGGCTAATCTCTTCCTCGTTGGCTCTTTAAGTGAAGCACTGTTGCACAGTTTTGTACCAAACTGGCTCTGGAGAGCATGAATTCATTACATGTACAGAATGCAGCCTCTCCCACACACCTCCACCTACACTCACTAAGAACACCACCAAAAACTACAGTAATCAGCAGCATCACGTTGCTCACATTTCAACACAGCTCTGCATATGGTAATGCGCAGCTGAATCAACATCAACATAATGCATCAACAAATCAATGTCTTTGAATTAAATTGGGAAAAACATAGCAGCAACATTAATGATGGTTTGGTGGATTGGGATTACAAAAAAAAGGAATTTATTCACTATTAGTCATAAAATAAATGGCTGGGTGTATGTTTTCCCAAAGACAACCCACCTGGGACTGTGGGCTATTGTTTATTCAGTTCAATTATACGAGCAAAATTAGAGCTGAGACCACTGCAGCCGTCCTTTAAAACTCCAGGCACAATACACACAGTGTGTGTGTGTGACATCTTGAAGTTTTACTCTTAATTTCT